CCTTGGGGAAGTCTTGCTAACCTTAAGGTCAAAGCATGGACTGGTTTTTCCCTCAACTCTCTTCGTTGTTAGTTGCCATCAAGTCAAATCTAACTTATGGCAACCCCATGTGTTACAGCATAGAACTGCTCCATAGGGTTTTCTTGGCAATAATCTTAATTGAAGCAGATCACCAGGCCTTTTCTTTCACTGTACCACTTGGTGGGTTCAAACCACCAACCTTTAGGTTAGCAGTTGAGTGCAAACTGTTTGCACCACCTAGGTATCTCAACTCTCTCTCCATTCCCAACCCATTGCCTTCGAGTCAATTTCTACTAGTAGACAGTAGAACTGCCCCATTGGGTTTCCAAGGCTGGAAACTTTATGGAAGCAAACTGCCACATCTTTCTTCCACAGAGCAGCTGGTGGTTTCAAACTTCTGACCTTTGGTTAGTAGCCAGGTGCTTAACTACTGCAACACCAGGGCTCCTTCAACTCTCTCTAGCACAGTTGAAATAGTGGAGGTGCAGGTATTGTGAAACTTTGGCAGCCAGGGAAGTCCATTCTGCCTTTGCTGAGACTTTATGTTCTCTTGTTACAGGAACATGTTGTCAGGATGACAAGTTGCATACTCTCTTCGACTTGGATTCCCCTATAGTACCACTCCATCTGGCAGGGGCTGTCTTCTCCCTCTCCCTCTTTATTCTTTCTCAAGAAATAAAACATGACAGATATTGACGCCTCCTTGAGTTCCCTTTCAGAAACTATCCCGTCCCTTCTCAGAAGGAAACAAACTCCTAAAGTTAATGTACATCCTTCTCCAAGTTTTCGTGATATATTTTATGATAAACATAATTTATTAGTTCCCTACTAATGAATATTTAGGCTGTTTCCTTTTTTTTTTTTTTTTTTGCATAAACAAGACTGCAATGTATATCTCTGTGCATGGTTTTGTTTTTTAATTTTTATTATTTTTTTTGTGACCATGTTTGACAGTTTCTTTAAATTATACCTAAAAGTAGAATTGCTATAGGGTATGTATCTCTTAACTTCATTAGAAATAACCAAATTGTTCTCCAGAGCAGTTATACCAGTTTACACGCCTACCAGCAATATGAGTCGTTATATCTCTACAGCCTAACTAATACTTTGGCATTATCTGACTTATAAATTTTACCATTCTGGTGTGTGTGAAATAGCATCTCATTGAATTTAATTTGCACTTTCTTGGCTGCTAGTGAAGTTAATGTCTTCCCCCTTAATTTTCTATCAGAATTCTCCATTTATTTCCTTCCTAGTACTTATCACTAGCTATTATCATGGGTTTGTTTGTGTGTTCATTGTTTACCTCTTTACCTCCCTATCTAGAACATAAGCTCTGTGAGATCAGAGATCACATCTCTCTTTTTTACTGCTTTATCCCCAGAGTTCAGTCCAGGGTCTGCATGTAGTAAGGGTTCAATAAATAGTTGTTTAATGAATAAACCTAGGGGGCCATTGAAGACAAACATAAACTCCACCAAGTGGTAGCCCACAGAGAAGCAGATTTTCCTCTCCAGTCTGTCTGGGTGCTTGACTCTTCCTCCAATGGTTAACTCCTGGGATATTCATCCTCCCTTGGGAAGATCTGTACTTTACTCACAGGGACATGGCCTTATCAGGACATCTCAGTAGCATAATTACTTAAGATCCCAAACTCAGTAGGTCTGACACTACTGTAAAAGAAGAGCTCACACAATAACAGGGAATTATTTTTTTCTCTTCCTCCCAGCCAAGCCCTGCACTTAATCAGTTCACAGTGCCACATTCTCTCTTTCATGTCTTCTCTTTTTCAAGCCAGTTTTGAATAGGAGGTAGCAGTCAGAGAGAGTAACTGATTGACTCACTCATGGTTTGACTTGATAGAGATATCTATCTGAAGCCGATAGATACTCCAGCCTGGGACTTAGGATTTGAGAAAAACTGATGTCCAGTTAGCCTAATATTGTCTTCTGTATCTCACATTAGGGAAAGCTGAAGCTCTGATGAGGTTCATTATCAGATAGGAAATTAAGAAAGAAGCCTTTTGCCTTTGTTGGGATTCTTATTGTCAGAGTTAATCTTGTCTTATTTAATATAAAATTTTCTGAGATAGGTGTAGGCTTCATCAGCAGAAATTCATTAGGCTAGGCATGGTAATTTTTATTTTTGAGAAATAGAAAAGTTGAAGAGGTCTAGAATAAATTCAGTTAACTCTTGTACTGTCCCTTTGTTTTCCACCCTACCACTCTTAGTGTTGGTCCCAGCAGTTCCAGTCACATCCTGTTCCAGTTTTATCAGTTCTTGAGTTCTATTCCGAACTTTACTCATTGCCTTGGTTAGGATCCTTTTGGATGCAAGGAACAAATCCACCCAAGCTAGCCTAAACCAGGAGGCAGTCCAGGAATGTCTCAGAGTTGTGGAGCATGCACAGCTAGAACCAGGAATTAGAGCAGTGGAAATGCCTACTAAAAGCTCCCAAGTTTATTTTCAAGAAAAGCTGAGGATGGAATCTCTTAGTCGCAGTTACAAATTCTCAGGGAAGAATACTGAGCCAGCATGGGCTAGATGCTCATCTCACACAAGTAAGATGTAGCCATAAGGTTATGTTGTACAAACATGGCAGCCAAGCACTACTCTTGTAACATGTACATGACACAGAAGGGCAGCTCCCAGGAAAGGGGAGATATTCTAGGCAGACACACCAGTAGGTGTCTGCTGAACTTAAAAGTTGCTGAACATGTGTTCAGAGGCTCTGAAGCCTCTGACTTTTTACCCAGAACTTTCTTCATGTCTTCTGCTTCCTTAATGTTGCTTCCCCCAGTTTTAACTGGCTCTTTACCCAACTTAGTGATCTCCTTATCCATGATGGATTCTCAAGAGACCCCGACTTCCTGTACTCTTAAGTGAGCTTTGTGGATGAGAAGGTGCATTTTTCTTCTTCTTTATTTATTTAGCTGGGAAGAATTAGAAGTAGGAATATTCTGTATAATATAACATCTCTCTGGTAGGCTTATAGTTCAGTGTTGTGACCTGCCCAAGCTAGTGGGAAATGATGGAGAAGCAGGTATTGTGAAACTTTAGCAACCAGGAAAGTCCATTTTGCCTTTACTGAGAACTTTCATTCTTTTATTACAGGAACATGACATAGAAACAGCTCATGGTGTGGTCCATGTCACTATAAGAGGCATACTGAAAGGAAACAGACCCGTTATTTTGACATATCATGACATTGGCCTCAACCGTATGTATTTAATTTTATGCCTTCCCTTTTTATCATAATACTTAATCGTTGTATATTAATAAACAAAACAAAAACCCAATATTCTAATAGAGTAGAGGCTTCCCTCTCTTTTTCTTACCCTTCCCTTCTTATTGCTACGTATGTTAATAGCAGGGTAATTTCCTGAAAGCGTGGACAGGAATGTGTTTTAGGGATATTGGAATTATACCTCATCTCACATTTGCTAAAGGACTGAAGGTTATATGATGAACTTGTTAAGAAAGTAGAACTGAAATCATTTTTTTCTTTAAGTCTGTACTACTCTGGCTTTTTTATGTTTCAGGCTAGAAAATCCAGAGCATGAACTTAACTTTGTTGTGAGCTCTTTAATGAGTTAGTGTAAGTGTTCTTGCTACAGCCTGTCATCAGTAACTTTAACCTGACTTTTCTAGATGGTAGTATAAGATTCTGGCTCTAGCCACAGGCACGAAGACTCTGTATATGTACTTTTTCTTCCATGCTTCTCTGGTTTTCAGAGGTGACCTGCACTTGAGGCTACAGTCCCCATGCTGGAGCTTTCGTAGCCTCCTCAGCATTAGAAGTGATTCAAGCAGTTATGCTAAGAGAGTAGAAATTGAAGCAGCAGCCCCTCCTAGTACCCCAGCAATTTTGCCAAGAGATAGACTCCCAAATGGGGGATGTAAGTGACCCAAGATATTCATTCTAGCCAGGCTCTTGGGATATAGTCAGTGTCTCTATGTTGGATAAGTGAGTAAGGTGAATGAGAGATGAAAGTGTTATGGGTGTTAAAATTATTTTGTGCAGCACAGGAGTGGTTTCCAGTTTGTAGACATTGTGTAGAATTGAGAATTAGTTGTTGTTCTGAAGTCATTGAGATATCTGGTTTTCAGCCTTTAGGGCAACTTAAAGCAGATGGTTTGTTCAGACACCTCCCTTCAGTGGAGCACTGATTAAAAAGGAGAGAAGGAAGACATGAGCATGATATGGCATTGATCAAGTAGAGGAGAATTGGGGAGAAATGGAGAGCCTGTGACTTATGGGTGTTTTTACTCTTGCAGACAAATCCTGTTTCAATGCGTTCTTTAACTTTGAGGATATGCAAGAAATCACCCAGTACTTTGCTGTCTGTCATGTGGATGCCCCAGGCCAACAGGAAGGTGCAGCCCCTTTCCCATCAGGGTAAGGCCACAAGCAAGATCTTCTGGGAGACATGCCCTCAGAAGACCAAATGACTGAAGTCCAGCGGGAGAAGTAGCACTTTCTTCCCTTCCCACTTGATTTTATCGCAGCCTACAGTTTATACTTATTAGCCAGTCATACCCATATAGTCTCTCCTTACTCTTAGAAGACTGTAATGTACCATCTGTTTTGGAAAACTGCAAGTTTTCCCATATCCAGAAATGACTGTCCATAGAAGGGACCTGCCTCCCTGTAATCACAAGGCATAAGTGTCTAAAGCACCCACTTCTCACTGTCTATAATCTGTCCCCTTCTTCACCTAAAGTCTGTCATTTTTATGTCCCTCCCTGAAACCCCCAACTACCTAGGGCCAAACTCTGATCCCTCTGAGCTTCCTGGGAGCATTTCCCCACGCTCACCTCCCCATTTAGTGATTAGAATTTGAATATTTTTATAATCATTTATTCTGAGAGGCTGCCCTGTTCAAATAATAGTGCAGTTTGACTGGACTTGGAGGTCTCAGCCTCATCCTAAGCCTCCTTTGCATGGCAGAGCCACAGGCTCCCTAACTCTTCCTGGGCAGGGTGCTTACTGATTGCAGAAGCAAAGACCTTAGGGGGAGAAGTCAGAGCACAAGCTATGGAATGCTCATTATTCTCCTCTGCCTTTACTCATTTCCAGAGCTTCCTTTGGTGAGTGACTCCTATAAAATAGACCATTGCAGACAAATAATAGCTAACACCTATATAGTACTTAAACAATGTTCCAGACACTGCTTTAAATACTTTACATGTATTACCTCATTTAGTCCTCACAACCCTATGGGATAGGTTTACTATTATTTCCATTTTAAAAGTGAGGAAACTGAGGCCCAGAGAAATTAAGTAACTTGGCCAAGGTTACATAAACAGTAAGTTCCAGAGCTGGGACTTGAACCCAGGCAGTCTGGCTGCAGAATCTGTTATTAACTATGTCCAAGCCGTTCTGTCTCTCAGTGCATATTAATTAGCCTGTAATCAGTTTACATCCATTAAGATTTGGATCCAGTTTTTGTTTTCTGTTTTGTTTACAAATAGTTCAAAAGCACTTCATCTCTTAAAGTGTTCAAGCAGAGGTAGACTGACTTCCCTGTCAAATGTGGAGCAGGCCTTGTTTCATATAGAAGTCGACTTAAGACCCTCCCATCTCTGATTCATGTAAAGAAAAGGCAGTATCTGTGGATGCTCCCCTCTTTTCTTAGGTTCCTAGTCTAGGTCTGCTCTTGGGTTTATTTGACTATCTCAGGATGAGATGGTTCATATCATGAGCTATATTCAAATGCAAATAATAAACCATGTTGTCCTATGTCTAAGTGAAACAAAATCATCCCAGGATTTGTGACTGTGCTTAGGCCCAGTAAAACTTTGTTTACTTTTGCATTTTTGCATTTAGCTGCCTAATATAAGCAGCAGACCAAGAGCCATTTCCTGAGCTGACTCTTACTGCTGGAAGTTCACTGAGCCTGTACCCCAACTGAAGTGATTGTTAGAGGTTTGGAAATATCCTAAGAGAGAACTATATTACCTCTTCCTTTCAAGTGGCTTCCTCTTGTCCCAGAGACTGCTCTTTGGGATACAGAAATAGGTGGTTTCTTTGGCTTTCTTCTTAGCATGGCAGTTTTAAAGAGTCACACAATATGCCACAATCATTTCCAGGCACTAATCACCAACTTTGAGCCTTTGGTAGAAGGGAATGCTTCTACCTAAGAACTCCGTGTTTTCCAGCTGTTCTAGTGACTGGGAAATATACATGCATTCTAATTCAAGAGATATCCTTCTGGATTTCAGGTACCAGTACCCCACAATGGATGAGCTGGCCGAAATGCTGCCTTCTGTTCTTACCCACTTAAGGTAGGTTCATTCACTTAAGGCTAATTCTTACCTGCTTAAGGTAGGTTCACATGGCTTTTATTAAGTTTCTACTATGTGTCTGGTCCAGGGTATATGATGGTGAGCAAAACAGAGCAGTCACTACCCTCATGGAGCGTATGTCTTCATGAGGGAAATAGTTAACAAGTAAGCAAACAAGTCTACCTTCTCCTCACTTATCTACTATCTTGTTATCTAACATTTTACATTTACAACAATAGTAAAAAATCTACTATCCAACTATTTTGCACATTAAGAACATATATCTGGCAGTAACAAATGCCGAGGTGCAATGTAAGAATAATGCTGGCTTTGAGGTTAAGGTTATATGTCATCTTGGCTGGGCCATGATTCTCAGTTGTTTGGCAGTTATGTGATGATGTAATTTGGAAGTTACGTAATGATGTAGTCATCCTCCATTTTGTGATCTGATGTGGTTATCCTCCATTTTTGCATAACACCAATTTCACATAGCAACCTGGTCTTTGGAACCTAACCATGTCAATAAGTGAGGAGAAGGTGTAATCATAACTAAAGTGCTATAAAAATAAAAAATCACTGGGGGTATTATGTTAGAGAATAAAGGTAAGAGCTACATAGATAAGGCTAGTTAGGGAATGCCACTCTAAGAAGGTATCATCTAGGCTAAGATCTGAAAGATAAAAAGGAGCTAGCTAGAGAACCAGGGAAAGAGGATTCCAGACAGAAGGAACAATATGTCCAAAGATCCTGGACCAAATGAGCAAGAAGGAGAAGGGTGTGGAGTGAAATTTGAGAAATAGACAAGGACCGGATTACATAGGTCTAGCAGACCAGGTAAGAACTTGGGATGTTATTCTAAATGCAAAGAAAAGGCATCAAAGGGGTTTTAAGTAGGGGAGTGATATCTAATTTAGTCTTTTAAAATGATCACTCTAGGTTTGTAAATTGTGTATCAATAAAGCTATTTAAAATTTTTAAAAAGGATTGCTGTGGTTGTAGAAAGAATGGTTTGGAGAGGAATAATAAAACAGGGAGACTAGTTAAACTATTAACAATAGTTCAGACAAGAGATAATGATAGCTTGTTACTGTATGCTGTTGAGGGGATGGAGAGAAGTAGATGGAGTTTAAGAAATATTTTGGAGGTAAACTCTACAGGCCCTGTTGATAGATTGGATATGGAGGTAAGGAGGAGAATGAGCTATCAAGTATAACTCCCAGGTTTCTGTCATATTTCATTTAACCATTAAAAATCAACTTAAAAAAAAGATGGTACCCTTATTTTATAGATAAGAAACTGAGGCTCAGAAAGTTAAAGAAACTTGCCCAAATTCTCACATCTAGTTAACAGCAAAGTTAGGATTTGAACCCAAGTGTTGTGTTCTTTCCACTATACCATGCTGCCCCTGAATGGAGTTAACTTTCTCGATGTTGGTATGTCCCATTCGCAGTCTGAAAGGCATCATTGGGATTGGAGTTGGAGCTGGAGCTTACGTACTCAGCAGATTTGCAGTAAGTACATGGAGGATTAGTCTTGACAGCCTTGAGGCTTTGCCTGGGTCACAGCTATTACTGCTATGTGAAATGACCAGGTACTGTTCTGGGTCTTGTGTCACTTTTTCTGTAAATTTTGTAGCTCCAGATAATAGGTTTGTATTAAGCCTGCACTGTTTAAAACAGTACCTGAAAAACCACAAGTGAGAGCAGTATATCATCAATAAAAAGTAAGGCTTAGGTGATTCTTACGATGGGATTTTGTGCAACCATTTGCATATGCTATAATGTTAACAAAAAAGTTAACATATGGTCTTACATAAAGTTAGTCATAGGCATAGGAAAGGACTGGAAGGAAATATACTAAAATATAACAGGGTTTGATGCTGTGTGATAAGATGAGATTTTATTTTCTGCTTTTCTATAGTTTCTCTGCTTATCAAATTTTCAGTGAGCATAATCACTATAATCAGAAAAAAAATTGAAAAGATAGAGAGTTTTGAAGTTTAAATAGAAATGTTCCTTTTGATTTTTAAATAAGTGTATAGAAGACAAAATACCATTTCTCCAACACCAAACTATAAGGATCAATCAAATCAGTATCATTCTCAAAGCAATATTTTATCAATTCTGTTCCCCTCTGTTCTGACACCAGCTGCACATGCAGCACTTCTTCCTCTGACCCTAACCACCGGAGCAAGGTCAGATCTCACAAATCACAAGGCACAGCCCTCCAGACTGCCAAGTCTGCCCAAGACTTCAGAACCCAGCTGCAGGCTTGGAGTCCCCACAATACCATCACTTTTGACTTTGTAGCTATAAATTTGGAGTTTCCCACTACCCCTTCAGGATGCTCTAACTCAGGAGTCTCCAAGGTCCCCCTCACTTCTAATATGCTGGCTGCAAATTCGAGGGTTCCCTCTACCCCCTATACGAGCTGTAAACTCAGGGGTCCCCAGTCCCCCTCACTTCTGACCTGTTGGCTCCTGCTATTCTCTTAGGTATAATAATTCGCTAGAACAACTCACAGAACTCAAGGAAAGTGCTATACTTTCTATTACAGTTTTATTATAAAGGATACAAATTAAGAGACTCATTACTGGGCTGAGGGCTGGGGACCATGGTCCTGGGGGACATTTAGTTCAATTGGCATAACACAGTTTATAAAGAAAATATTCTACATCCTATTTTGGTGAGTAGAGTCTGGGGTCTTAAAGGCTTGTGGGCAGCCATTCAAGATACATCTACTGGTCCCACCCCATCTGGAGCAAGGGAGAATGAAGAAAACCAAAGACACAAGGGAAAGATTAGTCCAAAGGACTAATGGACCAAAACTACCACAGCCTCCACCAGAATGAATCCAGAACAACTAGATGGTGCCTGGCTATCCCCACTGACTACTCTGACAGGGATCACAATAGAGGGTCCTGGACAGTGCTGGAGAAAAACGTAGAACAAAATTCTAACTCACAAAAAAAGACCAGACTTCCTGGCCTGACAGAGACTGGAGAAACCCCAAGAGTATGGCACCTGGAACCCTTTTAACTCAGTACTGAAGCCACTCCTGAAGTTCACCCTTCAGCCAAAGATTAGACAGGCTTATAAAACAAACAGTAACACGCATAGTTCAACCATGTATACAAGACTAGATGGGCACACCAGCCCAAAAGCAAGGACGAGAAGGCAGGAAGGGACAGGAAAGCTGGATGAATGAAATGGGGAACTTGAGGTCAAGAAAGGGAGAATGTTGACATGTCTTGGGGTTGGCAGCCAATGTCACAAAACAATATGTGTATTAATTGTTTAATGAGAAACTAATTTGCTCCATAAACTTTCACCTAAAGCACAATAAAAAAAAGAAGAGACTCATAGGGCAAGGTCTAAGAGGACTCCCGATGCAGAGCTGCCATGTCCTAAAATGGAACATACTACTCTCCTACATGCATCAATGTCTTTCACCAATCAGGAAGCCTATGGAACTTCTGTGTCTTTACTGGGGCTACATTATATAGGAGGAGCCCACGGGCAGAGCAAGCTGTTAAACACTTGGCTACTAACTGAAAGGTTGGTGCCTTTGAAGAAAGACCTGGAGGCCTGGCCATCTACTTCTGAAAGATTGCAATCACGGAAAACTCTATGACCCTCAGTTCTACTCTGAAATAACACATGGGGTCGCCCATGTCAGAATTGACTGACAGCAACTTGTTTGTTGTTGTTGTTGTTTTTAATGCATGATTGATTGAATTATACACTCCCCCTCAGGTCAGCTGATACCATGTGGTAGTCTTTCTGCCTGGCCAGCCCCTACCCAAGAGGTACCTTATTAGTATAAACCCTCAGATGTGGTCTGGAAGCTTCATCAAAGACACTTCATTCATGGGAGAAATTCCAAGATTTTAGAAGTTATCTCTCAGGAACCAAGGACAAAGACCAAATTCTTGGGTTAAAGTTAATGTAAACCCCACAATAAGGAACTTAAAAAAAAATACCTCTTAGGTGATAGGACAGTCTTCTGGAGGTGGTATCACCTACTTAGGTGGTTTCAGGAAAAAAAGTTCTGAAGCCTCTGTTGGGAAAAAAGGTATATAAGTGTGAAAGAGGCAATCTAAGTACATGTTGCCACCGACCCTATAGGACAGGGTAGAACTTCCCTATGGCATTCCCAAGGAGCAGCTGGTGGATTCAAACTGCTGACCTTTTGGTTAGCAGCTGTAGCTCTTAACCACTGTGCCACCGGGGCTCCAGTGTAGGTCCAAGCAGCCACTTATGCCAGGTAGTTCCAAGGGCACATCCCCGCAGGGAGGATCCACCATGGGCTAAACAACTGCAGAGACACCAGGTACCCTTCTCTGCTGTAGAAATAAAAAAATAAAAACTTGTCTCCCCCATAAATCCTTGCAAGGCAAGATCATTCATAGCAGTTTCTAAGAGACTAGTTTTCCAGATGCTAAGTCAGATTTAAAGAGCTATTTTTCCAAATATCCTCCTTAACACCTCTCTGTAGTCTTACTTACACATCTGAGGCATTAAGCATAGTAAGAACTGATGAACGAACTATGGTCATAACTGTTTTTTAGAAGAATCCTGGAAGTGGAATTTTCATACTGTTGTGTTTGTCTTTCAGCTCAATCATCCCGAGCTTGTGGAAGGCCTTGTGCTCATTAACGTTGACCCCTGTGCTAAAGGCTGGATTGACTGGGCAGCTTCCAAAGTAAGCACTAAATGAAGGTGTCCATCAGATCATCTCTTGGCCCTTCTCAGAGTTACTTATCTTTTTTATTTTTCATTGAGGTATATACAGTTAAGGGCAAATAGTTTTAAATATATAGTTTGATGAGTGTTTACCTATGTAATCATCACCAATCAATATGTAGAATACTTCCAGCTCTCTAGAGGGTTCCTTTGTGCCTTTTCCTGGTAGTTCGTTCCTTCGCAGATATAACCATTTTTCCGACTTCTATCACCATAGATTGGTTTTATTACTTATTATTCTTAAACTTCATTTAATTGGAATCATAGAATTTGTATTCTTTTGTGTCTAGTTTCTTTCATTCATCATTATATCTGTGAGATTCATCCATGTTGTATTTAGCAGTAGTTCTTTTTAATTGCCATTTAATAGTCTGTTGTATACCTACACAAGGTAAGTTTCAGTTATTTGATTGTTATGGATAAAGCTGCTATGAACATTCTTTTACATGTCTTTCAATAGACATATACATTCATTTCTCTTGGGTCTATACGTAGGATTAAAATTGCTGGGCAATAGGGTAGTTGTATATTAGCTTCAGTAGATACTGCCAAACAGTTTTCCAAAGTGTTTGACCAATTTACACAGCTATCAGCAACATAGGAAAGTTCCATTTGCTCGACATCTTCACCAACATTTGAAGTTGTCATTCCTTTTAATTTTTGTAAAATATTTTTTTTTATTTGTAATTCTAGTTTAATTTTATATGATACCCATCACCAAAATGTCCTTAGTTACTGGAAAAAAAAAAAAAAAAGAAGTTTTAAATTGTACCATCGTTTAAATTTTAAGCTACGTTGGCAGGTAAATAATGATGGGTTTTAATTTACATTTCCCTGAGGGACAACGATGTTGAACACCTCTTTTTCTAAAATTTATTGGCCATTTGAGTAGTCTCTTTTGTGAAAAGCCTATGTAAGTCTTTGCTCATTTTTTTTTTTTTAATTGGATTGCTGGTCTTTTTTCACCCATCTTTAAGAGATCCTAATATATTCTGCATATGAGTCCTTTGCTGATGCACATATTGCAAATATCTTTTCCTAGTCTGGTTTGCATTTTGACTCTCTTAATGAATGGAATGAATGAATGAATCACTCTTTCCAATGAAGCCAAACAGCTTATCTGTTCTATTGCTCCCAAAGACATGTGGATTCTTGATGTTTGCTATCTGAAAAATGAAGAAATTTGACCTCTAAAATCTGTTCAAGGAGATAGGAAACTAAGGAATATACTAATGACTTTAAAATATAAACCATCCCAGGACCAAATCAGGAAGAAGATGCAATAAGGAAAAAACATTATATTATATCCCTTTTGCACTGAACTCACCTATGCTAAAAATAATTCACTGTTTTTAGGTTGGAAAGGAAGTAGTTCTGAGACATTTTCTTTGGTAAAGTAGAAATATTATTAACTATGGGGTTTTAGATTTAACCAGTGATGCTATAAAGTTCTCCAGAGAGAAAAATAACATAAGCCTTCATTGCCTGCTAAACAATGCCTAAGGTAATAATCTCTTTTTTTAAAAATGCCTGCTTCTAAATACTTTGTTGCCATAAATGTCCATTCTAATACACCATTGGAGATAGTCTCCAAAATACCACCACCCAATTTGTCACATGTATTAAGAATCTTTATCGATAATCAGACCATGAGATCCAATAAGTCTGTATCTAGGAACTTATCAGAAGGAAATAATTAGGGATTCTTATAAAGCTTTAAATATAAGAATAATATTTTTTAAAAGTCTAACACATAGTGCTTACTATGTCAGATACTGTACTTAAATGGGTTTTTATATATTTAAACTTTTCATTCTTAGGACAACACAGTGAAGTGGTATCATTATTATCTCACAAAGACTTAGGTCATTTGCTTAAAGTCATACAGCTAGTAAGTCACAGAGCCAGAGTATTCATTAAAGCATTGTCTATAAGGCAAAAAAAAAGAAACAGCCTAAGTGCCAATAATATAGGGCAGGTACAAAAAACTATAGTACAGCCATAGAATGGAATATTATGAACCCTTTACAATCATGTTATTTAATAACCCTTTCAAGACCCAATATTTTCTGCTTTGAATTTTGTGTTGATACCATGTGTTTTCATTAATGGAATGTATACTGAATCATTGAGTGGGTTTGAATTTTTGGTAGCTACTCTGGATTTTTTTCTTGCCTCATCCCACCAAGCCTACCCTCAAAGTCCAGAGGGACATATGTGTTCCAAAAAACTTTTTACCAAAATCTATATTTTTCATACCAAAAACATTGATTCAGCACTACCTCATACAGTACCCTGTAGAAACAGTAATTTGGGTCACACACCCATTTTTTTCTGTTTCAAACTGTTATACAGGTCTCTGCCTGCATGCAGCACATACTGTCTATGGGAAAGTGACTTCCCAATAAACCCTCGTGGCAGAAAAAGCATGTGGTCACTTTATGTACCACAGGTCACGAAAGGGTAGAAATGAGAAAATTCAAATAATGTTAAGTAAAAACAGGCATTAAACTATATAATATGATCCCAATTTTGTTAAATACATATATCCATAAGAGGAGAGGGAAGATAATGTTACTAGTAGTAATCTTTGGCTGGACACATTACAGGTGATTTTTACTTTCTGTTTCATATTCTATATTTTCTTAATTTTCTACAATAATCATATATTAATTTTATAATAATTTTAAACGTTAAAATATTCTACCTATAAGCAGATAAGATTCCAAAGCATTTATTCCTTTGCACATTTAAGTTTTGGAGAAATGATGCATAGCCTAGCTTTGGATGAAATATATTAACAGTGGTATTGCCAGATGCTGTGGAAATTTTTTCTCATAGCCTTACTTATTTAAAATCTGTTCTAATTCCTATCTAATATGTGAGTATCTAAAAATTTACCTAAACACTCTCAATAACCTATAACAACCTAATAAAATTCTTCTAAAACATCAGAATGGCCTTTTGAGTATTAAAACATGAAGGGACATTGCTTATTAATTCTAATTGTCTTTAATTTGTAACCCGTGGATCATTAATAACTGATCTGAAGATTTCTGGTCTTTTTCCTTAATCTTTCTGGAACTGTGTGATCTTGCCCGGCCAATATCCATACCTCCCTTATCTCCTCTTCTCCATCTCTACCCCTAACTCAGTACTTCATCTCTGATGCAAGTCAACAAAAGGAATTGAGCATAAAACTATGGAAGAAGACTTAAGAGGAATCAGCAACATAATTTTAGTTGGAAATTTTTCTGAAAATAGAGTAACAGTTTGTACATGTACAGATTGCTGCATTTATTAGTCTGTGAGAGGCATCGTTTTCAAATGGGAAAAATGTTCATAATGCAAGAACATTCTGTAAACATAGCTATTTCCTCCCACTCCCTGAAATTAAGATAGTAAAAACTGTAGGAATAAAAAAATATTTTTTTGTCTCTTAGATGATTTGGGAGTGGTTGTAAGTCTATCCCAATCAGCCACAAATCCAATGTAAACACAGAAATATAAGCAGGAATGAGGTAGCAAATAGTTGTGAGTCCTAGGTCTCAAGTTTTCAAAGAAGGAATGGCCAGCATTCCTCCAGTTGTCTGCTTCAAAGCAGTCTATATTATTGTTCTAGAAAGGAGATTTAGTTTTTTTTCCTACTTATTTCTTGTTCTTATGTCACTCTGAATCTACCATTTCATGAAAGTTATGACACAGAGATTTCTTTCTTTGTTTTTTTGAAGGATAACATATCTACAATAAAGTAATCCTAAGGGGACAGCTTGATAAATTTTTACATATGCTTACACCCTTGATCCAGACTTTTTATCTTTTCAGCTCTCGTGCCTGACAACCAATGTTGTGGACATTATTTTGGCTCATCACTTCGGGCAGGTAAGTGCTCGTTCCATCCAAGAGAGCTGTGTTTATTGGCTTGTATGCAAAGCCTTATTTTAACTCAGGAAAGAAGGGGTACCTCAGAGTTTACCTGATCATAGTAGTTGACACCTCCAGAGCAAGCTCAGGTGCATGTGGTCTAGCAAAGGCTAATCCTACCTGAGTGTCATCTGGCTCTTGGGATTTGCAGAGACGAGAGAAGACAGCGTCTCCCCCTACTCATTCCTGTAAGCAACATACCATCTGTTAGTGTTTGACAACATCACATGCTTCACCAAGCATCTTTAGAGCCATAATGAGATTGGGGAAAGGCTTCACAGAAATAGAAACTTCAGGGAAAAAAGAAACCATGAAACATTAGTACTGAAAGAACCTTAGAAATAATTCTGTTCAACCCTTCAGTGAGGAAACTGAAGCCCACAAAGAGGAAGTAACAGTTATCAGGTGAATAATTGTCTGGTGGGGGAGAGGACACAGTCCTCTTTTTACAAAGGGCAAAGTAAGTTGGATTATGTCTTAGGCTGGGTTCTCTAGAGAAGCAAAACCAGTGAAGCATATATGTATATGCATATATATATGTATGTGTGTATATATATGTGTGTGTGTATGTATGTATGTATACATATATAGAGAGAGAGAAAGAGATTTATATCAGGGAAATGGCTTACATGGTTGTAGAGTCTAGAAAGTTTTAAGTTGTGGGTCAGGCATCGTGCTAGAAGCTTCTCCTGACTCATGTAGCTGCAGGGGCTGATGAACTCAAGGTTGGCAGGTAAGACAGCAGGCTGCTGGCTCAGGTCCCAAGAACCGGAGGTCAGATGATAATGAGCCAGATGCAGGATCCATAGCAAGCAAAAGCCTGTGAGCTTTGCCAGGAAGTCCATATATATTGGATGCAGGCCATACCCCTAGGGAAACTCCCTTTCAATTGATTGGCTGCTCATAGCAGATCTCATCATGGAGGTGATGACATTACATAACTACCAAACTGCTGAGAATCATGGCCCAGCCAAGTTGACGCACAACCTTAACCATCACAGTCCACCTCTTATCAACTTGGTACCTGTACACATCTCCTGAAACCATACATAACCTCTAAATAAAGACAATTATAAAGTCATACTTGCACTTAACATGATACAATAAACTCACGTACAACTAAAAACGTACTAGCCCTGTTTACATCTTATATTTTATAAGTGAAGAAAACAAAAATATTTGATGCACACATACGAAGAAAAAATCCTCATAACAATTATAGTCCTTGTTTCTGCAGCTGATCACATGGTCATAGCTGGTATTTAGAACTACCGTCTTCCACCACCCATTCCATATTCCCTTTACCCTCAGCAAGCACCTCAGCTGGTTGTGGTTCTTTGCCAAGTGGGGTGACCCAAAACTTCATTCCTGAAGGGTCTGAGCCATTAGTAGTCATATCAGAATTGGGTTGCTGTAGTTTTCCATTGACTTTAATCACAGGGCATGGTAGTACTAAGAGATGTCCTAAGGGATCTCCTGTGTTCCAGACATACTCTTTTTAACCTCTGTTATGTAGTATCAGTCTGATTTCTTTTTGTTAATCAGCATCAGTCATACCAGCCAATATAGGAACTCCCTTCTTTCCCTGTTGATCCAGAGGCATGAGGAACTCAAGGTGGCCAGGTGGCATTCTTAACTTCCAGTTCAATGGAATCAGTGTTGTGTCTCCTGGTGGGGCATTCCTCCCTTTGGAAACTAAGGCCTCTAGAACCACAGAGCATAGGATTGCTGGGACAGGGAGCAAAAATTTTGCAAGTGGGTCATTTGGGGTAATAGTGAGTGCTGCCACTCCGATTTCCACCCCTTGATTCCTGACCCATGAATCCTGGCTGTGGGAGAAACAGACCCATATATTGGATGCTGATTTAGAGGATATACAGCCTCCTGGAAAACACTGCCCCAACCCTGCAAGGTATTGCCACCAGCTGGCACTGTAATTGTGTCTTTAGAAGGCCATTCCATCGTTCTATCAAGCCAGCTGCTTCAGGATGATGGGAAATATGGTAAGACTGTGAGCACAGGCCCATTACCAGAATTCATTTGCTGTAAAGTGAGCCCTTGATCTGAGGCGCTGCTGTGCAGGATACCATGATGGTGGGTAAGGCATTCTGTAAGTCCACAGATAGTATTTTTAGCAAAAAATTGTGTGCAGGGAAGGCAAATCTGTATCCAGAGTGTCTGTTCCAATAATGGAAACAGTCCAATGTAAACAGCCTGTCACCAGGTTGCCGGCTGATCACCTCGAGGAATGGTGCCATATCGAGAACTCAGTGTTGGTCTCTGCTGCTGGGAGATTGGACACTTAGCAGTGGCTGTAGCCAAGTCAGTCTTGGTGAGTGGAAGTCCATGTTGCTGAGCCCATGCATAACCTGTATCCCTGCCACCATGGCCACTTTGTTCATGAACCCACTGGGCAATGACGGGAATGGCTAGGGAAAGAGGATGACTTGTTTCCACAGAATACGTCATCTTATCCACTGGATTGTTAAAATCCTCCTCTGCCTAGGTCACCCTTTGGTGAGCATTCACGTGAGACACAAATATCTTCCCTTCTTTGGCCCATTCAGAGAGGTCTATCCACATACCTCTTCCCTCTACCTCCTTATCTCCAATTTTCCAATCATGTTCCTTCCAAGTCCCTGGCCATTCTGCCATACCATTGCCGCATCCCATGAATCACTATACAATCACACATCTGGCCAAAGTGAACAACCAGGTGCACTGCTCGAAGTTCTGCCCATTGGGAGGATTTCCCTTCACCACCATCTTTCAGGGAGTTCCCAGAAATGGGCTGTGGTGGTGCCACTGTCCACTCTCAAGTGGTGCCTGCATATTGTGCAGAACCATCTGTAAACCAGGCACGAGTTTTCTCTTCTCAGTCAGCTGATCCTAAGGAACTCTCCATGAAGCCATACTGCAGCTGGGAGACAGAAGATAGTATGACAGGAGTGGAGACCATGGACATTTGGGCCACTTCCTCATGCAACTTACTAGTGCTTTTCAGGTCCTGCTCAGGCCCTGTCTCATATATTCTACTTCCATTTAATGATGGAGTGCTGCTGTGCACGTCCAACTTTATGGCTCTGTGGGTCAGACAACACCCAGTTCATGATGGGCAGCTGAGGCCACATGGTGACTTGATGGCCCATTTTTAAGCATTCATTCTCTACTAAGGCCCAGTAACAAGCCAAAAGCTTTTTCTCAAAAGGAGAGTAGTTTTATCTGTAGAGGATGGCAGGACTATGCTCCACAATCCTAAGGGTCTGCGCTGTGATTCACCAATAGGGACCTGCTAAAGACCCCAAACAGCACCTCTGTCTGCCACCAACACTTCAAGCACTGTTGCATCAGCCAGCAGAACTGTATGCACAGGAGCCTGAATCTGTTGAAGAGTCTCTGTTGTTGTGGGTGCCACTCAAAACTATCACTTTTGAGTCACTTGATAAGTAGGCCAGAATAGCACACCCAAATGAGGTATATGTTGTTTCCAAATCCAAAGAGGCCCACCAGGTATTGTGCCTCCTCCTTAGTTGTGGGAGGGGTCAGATGCAATAACTTACCCTTCATTTTAGAAGGAATACCTTGACATGCCCCATACCGCTGGACCCCTAGAAATTTCACTAAGATGAAAGGCACCTGAATTTTTGTCAGATTAATTTCCCACCCTCTGGCACACAAAAGTAAAGTATTATAATGACATGTGCAAAGACCTGGAGTTAGAAAACCAAAAGAGAAGAACACGCTCAGCATTTCTCAAGCTGAAAGAACTGTAGAAAAAATTCAAGCCTCGAGTTGCAATATGAAGGATTCTATGGGCAAAATACTGAACGATGGAGGACGCATCAAAACAAGATGCAAGGAATACACAGTCACTGTACCAAAAAGAATTGGTCGAAGTTCAGTCATTTCAGAAGGTAGCACATGACTGAGAACCGGTGGTACTGAGAGAAGTCCAAGTTGCACTGAAGACACTGGCGAAAAACAAGGCTCCAGGAATTGACAGAATACCAACTGAGATGTTTCAACGAAAATGTTGAGGTGTAATCCATACTGAAGACTGTAGTCTCTGATCTTCATCAGTAAGTGCTTCAAGTCCTCTTCACTTTCAGTAAGCAACATTTTGGCATCTGCATATTGAAGGTTGTTAATGAGTCTTCTAATCCTAATGCCACGTTGTTCATATAGTCCAGCTTCTCGGACTATTTGCTCAGCATACAGATTGAATAAGTATGGTGAAAGGATACAACCTTGATGCATACCTTTCCTGATTTTAAACCATGCAATATCCTCTTGTTCTGTTCAAATGACTCCCTCTTGATCTATGTACAGGTTCCTCATGAGCACAGGTATTCTGGAATTCCCATTCCTCACAATGTTATCCATAATTTGTTATGATCCACACAGTCGAATGCCTTTGCGTAGTCAATAAAACACAGGTAAACATCTTTCTGGTATTCTCTACTTTCAGCCAAGATCTAGCTAACATCAGCAATGATATCCCTTGTTCTTTGTCCTCTTCTGAATCTGGTTTGAATTTCTGGCAGTTGCCTGTCAGTGTACTGCTGCAGCCACTTTTAAATGATCTTCAGCAAAGTTTTACTTGTGTGTGATATTAATTATTCAATAATTTTTGCATTCAGTTGGATCACCTTTCTTTGGAAGAGGGATAAATACGAACCTCTTCCAGTTGATTGGCCAGGTAGCTGTCGTCCAAATTTCTCGGCATAGACGAGTGAGCACTTCCAGTGCTGCATCCATTTGTTGAAACACCTCAGTTGGTATTCTGTCAATTCCTGGAACCTTGTTTTTCACCAGTGTCTTCAGTGCAGTTTAGACTTCTTCCTTCAGTACCATTGGTTCCTGATCATATGCCACCTCCTGAAATGTTTGAACGTCGATCAATTCTTTTTGGTATAGTGACTCTGTGTATTCCTTTCATCTGCATGACTCTGAAGCTGTTCTCCTACGGTATTGGGCTGCCTTAGGAGAAGCACATTGAGGTTCCTAGAGGAATTGAGAAGCAGGGGAAATTTACTTCTGACTAGGGATCAGGGAACGCTTCAGGATAGAGGAGGTATCCCAGCTGGTCCTTGAAGGATAGATAAAAATTTAACGTTTTAGATTTGAGGAAGAAGGGGATCATTCCAAAAAGGGGGAATGCTTTGTTCTAAAGCAATGAGGAAGGAACTGTAAAGTGTGTTCAGGGAGTAGTAAGTAACCTGGGGTGGCTTTGTGTATGATACGCAAGCATTTACTCCTAAAGTTTTCTGACAGTGCCTGAGGTGGACGAAAGAGGCTTTATGTTATTTGTATTTGACTATGTTAGAAATCCTATTTTAAATAGGCCTATGAGGGGAATGCCAAGGCCAGTATTTTAATGATTTCTAACAAACAAGAATATCCTCGCACTGTATATAATGTGCACTTAATTAAAAATATATGAAGTCATAGATGATGGATTGTCACAAAAGAGTCCGTTTACAATTTAAGCAAGCAGATGCTTATGTTGCTTTTATTGCCTTTAAATGAAAACAATATGACATTTAAATATGAATAATACTCATCTTCACTACTAAGAGAAAAAAACCACAATGATACCCCCTTTTTTATGTATCAGATTAGCAGAATTCAGAGAGTGTTCGTTTATACTAGCAAGGGTATGGGGAAACAGGGACTCTTGTATATTGTTGATGGTAGTGTAAATAAATGAGACACCTTCATATGTCCTGATAAGGAATGATCTTTACCATATTTTAAATGAAAGAACAGTTTGTCTAGCAGACATTTATGTTTTAGAAACAGATGAGAGGGGGGAATTTATATACAACAGCTTTGCCTAAGAAATTTCATTAGCACTTAGGCCTAGTTTTACCCCTTTCATACTAATATAATTTCTTCCCTTTTTTATCTCAAACATTGCTACTCAAGTTCCTCTCTAGTCCTTTAAGGTAGAGCTGGCTAGATCACTTCACCTCTAATTCCTGTTTGCTTCATTTGTTATTCACTTTTCTTCCTAGGAGTGATTCTAGCGCCCTTCAGCTTCAGGTAGACTCTGACCCATTTGGTCAGTTTCCAACTGTGTTCTTGGCTTACTTCACCTATATGGTGGTAAGAATTCAAACATTTTCCAATGTTCTCCTTATATCTATTTCTCTACAAGGCTTGATGGTAGCCTTTACACACTGCTCTGGATTAACTGACATTCCTTTCCTCCAGTGCAAAAATGTTCCCTTCCGCTTAAAACTGCCTATTGGGTGTGTATGTGTGTGTAATGTATGTACATACATTCTTTTGTACCCAAGAACTTGGTAACTGGTTCTGATGGCCTCTAAGAAGGCCAGCAAGGGAAGGACTATTGGAAGATGAGTGGTGAGAGGAGAGACTTACTTTTCACTATATATACTATTTTAGACCTTGGATAGTATTGGTAATAAGATTAAAATAAATAAATAATGAATTGGCCAAATAAAATACCATAAATCAAATGTAATATATAATTCTATAATGCATAGTGTTGTTGTTAGGTGCTGGCGAGTCAGTTCCAATTCATAGCGGCTGTAGGTACAACAGAAAGACACCTCGCCCAGTCCTGCGCCATCCTCACAATTGTTGCTATGCTTGAGCCCATCGTTATACTGATTATATCAATGAAGATATAAATTAATTATACAGATTTATGGATATTAAGAGAAATATTACCTTCCATTTATTTTACACTTTACAGTTCATATAACTTTTCTTGTTTAATCTTTACAACAGCCCTGTTGGGTAGCTGGTTATTATCTCCATTTTACAGATAATAACTATCTCTATTTTTAAGAGAAATGGCAAAACATGAACAAACACAAATAAGAAACTAAGGTTCAGAATGATTAGGTAACCTGCCTAAGTTCAACAGCTAGTACTTGAATCCCTGTCTAGCACAGTTTCCCCTGTGCTACAGATAAGGGTGTTCAGAGTGATCTCCAAGTTTTTGCACTTCAGCTGCAGTTAAGTGTCAACTTTTTCCATAATAGGTTCTTTGGTGCACCTATGGCACTGAACCAGTCTGATGCAAATAAATTTTTCAGTCATTCAGCCTACTAGTACATCAGTGGACTTCAGGCTCTGCACAAGTTCCCATCATGGGCATTGAGAATACAGACCAAACAAGATGGACTTGTTCTGTACCTTAGAAGTTTACCTGTGTCTTCTTTCAATTGTTCTAGGAAGAGTTGCAGGCCAACATGGACCTGATTCAAACCTACAGACTGCATATTGCCCAAGATATCAACCAGGAAAACCTACAGCTCTTCCTGAGTTCCTATAATGGGTATAGTTGTTTCCTATTCCTTCACTTAAATGTGGACCAGGTCTAAAAAGATAATTGACAGTTAAAGAATAAAGAAAGGAGAAATAAACTACTTCTTTCAGTGTTGTGAGATGGGATTGCTATCGTGCTGTTTCACCACAGTAGAATAGACAGATATGAACACAGCTTTCAAGAAGAGTGAGCGAACTGAAAGCTGTTTCTGGCATGTTCAAATACCACTTGAAGTGTTAAGATGTTTCGAAACAAAAGATACCTAAATTATACACACACACAAGTAAAATGCACAGGAAAATATGTACAGGGGAGGCAAAGGATACAGGTCTTGGGCCTTGTTTTCTGTTTCTCTATGCTGATCTTTTCATCAGGCACAAAGAACACATGGACACTAAAAATTCTCTTTTGTTTGTGTACCCTAAAACCACTGCCATGTCTCCCCCAGTCACTGAGAGAGCCTGATTCTTACCTTGGGACCAGTTTCTCCAAGGTAAAAATGTTCGCTCCTTCTAGCTTTCGCTCTTGGAACATGGAAAAAGATTGAGGAAATGAGCCAGCTGTAATTTACCCAAAACTATACAGTGAGTAAAGAACAAAAGCCAGATTTTGAACCTGGTCTCTCTAGCTCTTTATCACAGAGCCTCCCTATTTTCAGTTGAAATCGGAAAGATTTATTAAGTACTGTGCTAAACTGTACTAGTTACAAGCAAAGTGTTCCTCCAAAAAAATGTAAGTCATTCCCTTCTGTTAAGAAATTTATTCCCATAAAGTAGTTGAAAAATTAAACAGAACTTGAGGATTTCTGGAGCACTGCTGTTGAGTTGTGAAGTTGCTTCCTTTTAGCATCCTACAGAGCCCTTTACAGTTGAGCCAGGAGCCACTGAAATGGCTACTCCTGAAAAAAGTGTACAAGGGTCCCCTTCCCTTATTATGTGTAAAAGAAAGAGACTTTTCACATTTCTTGATACATTTTGGTTTTCCATCCAGAAAATAACCTAAGTTGCTATGGTTTTATCTGAAAACAGCATTGCTTCTGCTTTATTTTTCTAGACGCAGAGACCTAGAGATTGAAAGACCCTTGCTGGGCCAAAATGGTAACACAAAAACGTTAAAGTAAGTCCTTCAGATTCCCCATTAAGTTGCTAAATATCTTTGCCTCTGTGAGAGGCAGTTCAGTATACAATGACGTGTATGTGCTTATTTGTTGATGACAGCTCTTATTTTGCCTATGCCTAGGTGTTCTACGTTATTGGTGGTAGGGGACAGTTCACCTGCAGTTGAGGCTGTGGTAAGTATATCCTGATGTTGTAAAGATGAATGAAATGAAAATGTAAGAAAGTGTTTATAGCACACTGCTGACACACTAGAAACAACTGGTAAATACTAGTTTTTGCTATTTCTGATTGCACAGATCAGGTTTGCTCTTTGTTATACATTTTGGAAAATGAATTTCTCATCAGTCACTAGGTTTCATCAGATGGTATATGTGCTGCCTTTGATTGCTTTGTATGGTGCAGTTCATTTTGTGGAAAGTAGCACAACTAAACACCATTTGTTTTCAAATTTCTGGCAACCTCAGCCTTCTGCAACCACTGTAAATCTGGAACTATATTAGCAGGTTAGAAGGCTGCTGAGAGCCTATATGTGTTTCTGTACCTCCTTCTCAGGCACTTAACAAATTAATAAAAATTAAATATGCTCATTGTGGAAAATGAAAAAAATTGAAAAATAAAAGGATGGACACGGGGAAGCATGATCCCATTGCTCAAAGACAAACTATTATCTTTTTCTTTAACATAGACTGGGTCGTATTAAATATACAAGGTTTTGGACCTAATAACTTAACACTATTGATAGTATTTTTCCAGAATGTAGTCAGCATAAACATACTTTTTTATGTTTGTATAATATTCCATCTTATAGATGTACCATTGTTTATTTAACCTCATTCTCCTGTTACTCATTTCTGATTTTGCACCATTAATAACATTGCTGTTGAACATCCTTATAAAGTTTTGTACTGAATCTTTGATTATTTTGCTGGGATGGATTTCCAGAACTGGAGTTAATGTGTCAAAAATCAAAAACATTTGTAAGGTTTTGCCAGATTCCTTTCCAGAAAAGGCTATTTTTCTAGATGCAAAGACCTGGAGATTGAAAGACCCTTGCAGGGCCAAAATGTTTGTATTGCTGGTGTATATAGCCATGTTCAATATGTGAGAGTACCTGTTTCATAGCACCCAGTCCGGCGCTGGATTTATTAGTAGTTAATTTGATAGGGTAAAAATGGTATCCCACTGTTTAAATTTGCATTTCTTTGAGTTCAAATAGATTGACACTTTTTCATACTTCATTAGCATTTGCATTTCTTCTTTCACACAGCATATATAACTTAACTAAGTGTCTGTATGAAATTACTTGGTTTTCTTTGGCAACCTTCACTTCTGCCCTATTCAGAGCAAAACATTAGGGAGTGAGATTTTTTGGCAGAGGTATAGAAATAGGTGAGAAGGTTTGGGGGGTAGAGGGGACGTTTGTAGGGTGAGATAGATGTGACAACAGAATATATTCACACCTCCTGAATTGCCTTGTAAAGCATCCTATGTCTCCTGTAAAATACATGGCATAGCTTGAGCCAGAGGCAAATAACCCTCAGTAAGTATTGTTGCAAAAATACCCATCAAAAGCATTTTTTAAGTTAACATATACTTAAAAACAGGGAAATAGGATTCTGTTTGTAGAAAATACCCATAATCAGAATTCCCTAATAATACTGAATTAAGTATTCCATGAATTTTTGCCCCCCCGCCTTTTTTTTTGCCTTTTTAAAATTGCATGTACATAAAGCAACATTTCCAATTATTTTTCCAGACTATATAATTTGGCCATGTAAGTAATCCTCTTTCTCTTTCTGATTTCCACACCCTCGTTTATAGAGAAGAACTTCAGGAACCCCACCTATACCACAAAGTGGATGTTCTTCTGGACACAGTCAGATCTAGCTTCCTGCCAGAGCATTTTACCCAGTAAATAGGCAGGGATTAGAGGAAGATCCATGAATAGGAGAGCAAGGAGAAACTCCACAAGTTCTGGTCACTGTTGGTAGCTATTCTTGCTCACTTATTCACTCAACGTCATTTTTTGAGCATCTTCTATTTCCTCAGTGCTATGTAGAATACAAAAATAAGTAAGGCAGTCACTGCATTTGGGGAGCTGGGAGGGAAAGTACATACGTCAAAAATCAACCATTGTGTTCATCACCCTTGCGTATTGCGTTCTTTTAAAAATTATCTATATAAGACCAAATGGACAACAGCTATTCTAAAGCATAGAGAAGAAAGTTGGGGGCAGAAAGTTTAATCAGTGGGAGTGAAACAACTAGAACAGAATTAATGAGAATACTGAGACAAGGTAAAATGTAACAAATGTCACTGATCATTATGGCTAGAAACTTGTTGAATGGGAACGGCTTTTGCTGTGTATATTTTCACCAAAAATAAAATATTACTTAAAAAAAATTGTGGTTGGCTTACCAAATATCAAGACTTCTTATAAATTATAAAGTAGCAAACCAAGGAAGGAGCCCTGGTGGCACAGTGGTTAAGGACTGGGCTGCTAACCAAAAGGTGGGTAGTTTGAAACCACCAGCTGCTCTACTGGAGGAAGATGTGGCAGTTTGCTTCTGTAAAGATTTACAGCATTTGGGGCTGTATGGGGCAGTTGTCCTCTGTCCTGATCACTATGAGTCTGAATTGACTTGACAGCAGTGAGTTTGGTTTGGTTTTGGTTTAGCACAGTATTTTGTGTGTGCTTGGCGAACGTGTAGAAGGACAGATAAACTGACCAGGTTAGCCATAAAACATTGCTAAACCTAGAGATTATTTTCCCAAAACATTTACTTTGAGGTCCCTGCCTTCATGGATACAAGGGAGCAAGATACTGAACATGTAATACATAAGATTGTAATTCTTAATTATGATGAGTGCTATAATAGAAAAGAAACGGGTGCAATGAGAGAAAAATCAAGACAGAGATTCAACTTCAGACGAGAGGGCTGAAGACTTTGAGACAGAAGAGTCAAGTGTGAGGAATGAGAAATCCAGCACTTCTGTGGCCCAGAAGAGGGGTGAGATATGAGCAGGGGAGGTAAGCACGGCTCAGTCAATAGCGTCACTTGTGCTTGGAAGCAATGGAGAACCCAGCAGGAGAGGGCCATGGTCCAGCTCACAGTTTAAACCCGTAAGGTAACTTGCCCTGTTTTATGTCACCAGTACAAAGAATTACACTCAGCATATAGTTCTTCAGAGACCCTATTTATAATAGATTCAGAAAATGAAATTAGCCAGATTTTTAGATCTCCTCAGAAATACCAGCTATAAAGTACATTGTTTATGTGTGTGTGTGTAACTATCCCACCTTGTATTTTGCTAATCTCTTTGCCTGGTTCAGCCATCTCCAAACTGAGCTGTTGTTCTTGCAAGATCATTCTCATGCCAAGTATGTCTTAGTTTTCTAGCAATTGATAAAATTCTTTCTCCTTTTTTTTCCTAAAGGTTGAATGCAATTCTCGCCTGGATCCTATAAATACAACTTTGCTAAAGGTAATGTGACATCTTCTTCACTGCCAGCCATTTGTGAGTAAATTATACATGGTTCAGATCTTCTCTGTTTTATGGAATAGTTGCCTAGAAAGAAGCAAAGCTTCTGTCTCTATGATTCTCTCTTTAAAAAAAAAAAACTTTCCTGAATGTATTTTCTCGTTGTAGAAAATTGGAAAATAGAGAAAAGTAGAAAGAAGAAAATAAATAAAAATTACTCATAATCCTACCACCCAAAGGTAATCTCTGGGAAAATACTGGTGTGTTTTTCCTATACATTTTTACATCATCCAAGATCACAGTGTATTTGTAGCTTTGTACTGTTTTTCTTAACTTTATGATATAAGCATTTTCCCATATCATTAAAAACTTCATAAACTTTTTAAAATGTTGTTTTGAGAATTAAATAAGATACTGGATGGAAATTCTTTACATGCTAATCTTGCAGTATTGGTAAGGAATCTTTTGATAACTTGCTAATGAAGAAAGATGCATTTTCTTTCCCTTATTACAAATAAGGCAACTCTTGTACTAAATTTCTAGGGATAGTATCAAGTTTCTTCCCTTTTTGGTTGGACCTGAGGAAAGAGTTCCAACCTAGCATTGTCTCAACCTAGCTTTTTCTAGAGCCTTTACTAAAATGTTTAGGTAATTGACCTCCTAGTTTGAATCTGGACTACTGTAGATTTAAGTGCTGATCTTATGTAGCTTTCTGCCACTTCCCCAGCCTGAAAGACCTCTGTCATCTTCCCTTTCTCTTTGAAGTATGCTTAAAGGGAAAGTGCTGTCATAATAAGTAGCCCATAGTTCCTAGAAATGTAACATGAGGGTAATGCTCCAAGGTGACCAAACTCAGAATGTTCTGGGCTCCAGGTGATTGATGGGCTAGTCTGAAATACGAATTCAAACAAAATAAGTATGTGGTTTCCAATTAATTTTTCACTGCAGGATTGAATTAATATTCAAAAGCATAAAACTGAACTCTACAGTAGCCATAGTTATTTCTGGGCAAAAATGCCCATCCACAACAGCATGGAATAGAGTAGATCACTCCTGTGGCCGATTGAACTGAATCTCAAACTATTTGACAGTCTCTCCCCGTATTCTTTCTCTGCGTATGAGAACTGTTTTATAGTCCTAATCTGGTTTTGACTCCTAAGTTCATAAAGTACAGCCTGTGCCATTTTGGTCTGTTTCATACTTAAATCAAGTTACACGTTTCTGATCTTATGCTCAGAATTTTCGGGAGACTATTCCTTGTTACTGTCAAACAACTACACCTTCTGTGGCATTCCTCTTTGCTAGATGACAATTCCCCTCAAAGAAAGTTTCAGTGCCAGTGGATTGAAGCCATGGAGTTCGTGTTCCTTAAGAAAAAAATCCCTGTCAGCCCGACTGGGATGCTGTATGATCACAGAGTGCATAACAGCTAGAAGGAAGAGGGTAGGCTTATGTTTGGCTATCGTGCCTTAGAAACAGTGTTCTCTGCAGACTGGCAGAATCGGTGTCACTTGGGAGCTTCTGAGAAATGCAAGTTCTTGGACCCTACTCCAGATCTATTGAACCATAGTCTTTGGGGAGGAACCTAAGAATCTGAGTTTTAACAAGTCCTCCAGGTAATTCTAATGCACAGTAATGTTGGAGAAGTCCTACCCTAGAAATCCTTGCACAGCTGAGAATAACCAGCTATAAAGGTTTATGACGTGAGAGGCAGCCCCACAGATCGAGCCATGAGAGGGAGGTGGCTGAAGCCAGTTGACCAAATTCACCATCAGCACCCGAATGGGGAACTCTCTTTAATCACAGAGTTGGAAGGGGATTTAGAAAGCATGGTGCCATGAGAAGTTCGGGTCTCAGTGTTTGTGGACACTGAAGAGAACGTTCTTCAGGTGGATACAGACCGTGGTTGAAGGTAGTAGTTAACTTCACTATCATGCCTGACAGAAAATTCCCACCATGGCCTGAAAAACCATACCCTGCATTTTACAGACTTGGAAAGCATTGAATAATCTTTTCATATTTCTATTCAAGGTTATTGCTCAAATCTAAGTCTTTTTATAAAGGTGCAGTTAAACCTCAAGTGAAGGAACCTAAAATACAATTCTGTCCAGTTTGAGAAGACTCAAGGATGTTCAGAGCACTTCCCTTAAGTGTAAATCCCAGCTGACTTACACTTTCTCCTCTTCTAGATGGCAGACTGTGGGGGATTGCCCCAGGTGGTTCAGGTAAGGGGATTTTTTTTCAAGTGCCTGTTTGATTCTACCGTTCTGCCTATGCAAAGATTAATGCATTCTTATTTTGTCCCCCTAGCCTGGGAAGCTCACCGAGGCCTTCAAGTACTTTTTACAGGGAATGGGCTACAGTGAGTAGTATACAACTTTCTGTCTAGCAGAGATTTATTGACAGTGGGGTCATTTTGACATCTGGGGAGCCCACATTTCTCAGGGCATAACCTCTTTGCTGGCTAGCCTTAAGTCAAGTTAACACCAAAACATTTATACAGCATTCATCTTGTGCATATATATAAGATGAGCTAACACTTACCTTAACGGTTACCTGGGCCAGGCAGTATATTCATTGTATCATTTAATCCTAATAATAACATTAAGAGGTAAGTTCTATTATTAGTCTCATTATATAGAAAAGGAAACTGAAGCTCAAAGAGGTTAAGCAAATTTTCCCAGGGAAACATGTAAGCTACACAGCCATGTTTCAAACCCTAGCAATCTGGCTCCAGAGCCCACATTTTCAACCACTAAAGCTTAGGCTATCCTGGCTTTGAATATGAAAGTATGATTTGCATTTGAACTCAGCTGATTAATGGCTCCTGGCCTAGAGAAACAAAATAGAGACTGCAAAAGAAAAGGGTAATGTCCTCAGTTAAATCTGCTCCATCACAGAAGATGAACTTACAAAGTATTTTAGAATAAGTCCAAAGCATGTGTCCACATTATATGCCACTGTCCTGGTCAGTTGTATTGTGTGACCCCTAGCTTTTTCAGTTGGCATAGAATATCTACACTTGCTGCTTTCTTGGAGTTTTAAGAAGGAAAACCTTTCCATCCAGGTATAAAGCTCATTACCCAGTAGAGTGATTTTTTTTCTCCCCCTGTGTTTGGTATCATTGTGGATAGTGGCCATGGTGAGCTACCTGGTCAGCTGCTCTGGGCAATAGCTGGGCCCCTGGATGCAGCCTTGTACTTAGCAGGCAGACTGTGTATGTTTTGTCTGGAGTGGCTGTGTGGTCCTCGTCTGTGAGCCCCTAAAAACTAAGCCCACATCCACTTCCCTCTGGCTCACTGGGAAGAGCAGAAGTCCCTCTCCTAGCCCATTCTCCATTTCTTTTCCTAGGAAACAGCTTGTCTTCCAGCCCATTTATGAGCCAAAGCAAGATGACTGTTATAGTGGATGGGAAAACAATTAATTGCCTTTGACTGGTTGAGGGAAGTAGCATCTGAGATGCTATTCAACCTCAGCACCTCTCTAAGACCTTAAAATAAAATTTCACCCCTGGCTTAGAGTATTCTGTCAGTGTCTATTAGGCAGCCCCAGTTGCCACTTGGCACTCTCGGGTCACTAACCTGCCTTTTCCTGTGTCCACCCTGCTTCCAGTCCCGTATGTGCAGCTCAGTCACCTGAGCACCGAGTCAGGTACCTTCCTCTGTGCTGGCCCTGCCCCTGCCTCCCAGCCATACACCCTCCTGGCTGCACTGGCTGCTTGCAGCATGTCCGCGGTTTCCTGTGCAGTGAGAGCCTGATAGAACGTGGCTCATTGTGCCAGAAGAAGGTTAGTCTGCAGGTCCATCCTGGGCTCCCCAGGAGGAAGAAAGCAGAGGGCTATAATGCCTCTCATCATCCCAAGTCCAAGATCACAGCAGAAGCTGAAACTTTATACCTTTCAAACATGACCCCTCTTCCACCACTACCTACTGATCCTTGAGTTAACCCCCAGGCCCAGAGATTGTAGGGCAGCCTTGACTCTAAAATAGGAGTGTCAGAGCCTGCGTGTGCCAGAGAACTCTGCAGGTGTTGGCATCTTTTGACCCCTGCATTGAAGTGACAGTTTGGGTAGTAGCTGGTCCCTCAGGAGGCTAGGCAGGGAAGTTATGCCAGGTAAGGCCCTGTCCTGCCCAAGCTGGAAGGACCTTAGGGTCAAAGCGGTGGCAGAACAGGAGTCTAGTTAAATACCTGTCCCCAGTCCTCTTCCCTCCCCTGCAACCTGTACCTCACTCCCTGTGCAGAGATCAGCTCCAAGCCCATCTGCCCTTGCCTACACCCTCACCTTCCTACGTGTTTCCTCCCCAGATAGCAAGGGTAGTCTGTGGACATGGATGGTAGTCTCGTTGTATCGGGCTTGCACTGTTTTGTGAAACACCTTCATACTTGTGTAGTTCATCTTTCTTTTCCTTGGTTTAGTCTTGCATGCATTGCAGGTTTTGGTTACCTATTAGGGTTCCCAAAACCTCCTTCCTAATAACTGTATGAATAGCGTGGGCACAGCTAAGAGGCTATACTCTGGGCTTAGGGTTTCCCTTTGTTCTGCTGTGGACTAGAATTAGTGGAGATTCCAACCACATCCAAAGGATTAAAGCAGCCTTGCATATAGCCACTCACCTAGAACAAATAGTACAGAATGGGGATGGCTGTATCTTGTCCCTGGGTGTCATCCTAAACGAGTTCGGAAAGCTAAACATAAAGCCTTTGGTGAAACTTCTAGTTTAGCTGAGCTTAACCAGGGCCCCATCTTCTAGTCCTCTTGGTTCTTTCTTACAGTACCATCTGCCAGCATGACCCGACTCGCCCGGTCACGAACCCACTCAACCTCGAGTAGCCTGAGCTCTGGAGAAAGTCCCTACAGCCGGTCTCTCATCAGCAATCAGTCAGATGGAACTCAAGGAGTCCCTGAGTCCTCTGAGGACCCAGACAAACAGGAGACCATGGAGGTGTCCTGCTAAGCAGATGCCCCTCCCTTGGACCATGCAAATCCATCTGATCACTCCATAATATAACATTTCATCCAGCAAATTGGCATCTACCATCTTTAACTCATGCATGGCCACTGAATCTCTCTCTCTGGTAGCCTGAATTTATCATTCTCTCTGCCTGCCCGCCCTCTTTTTTGTATGTACCAAGAACCCCGTCCATGCCATTACTGTAACATTCCAACATCCTTAGCAGGTCAAATCTCCATATCTGTCTTCTCTTGCCAGCTTTTTCTTGTTCTCTGATAAGATTCTTTGATCCCAACTCCTTGTGTGTGCAAGCTCGCATGTCTGTGTTTGTGTGTGCATAGTTCTGTGATTTTAGACATGCTTTCTTGTACAGCTTCTGCAAAAAACAAAAAAAGGGACTTTTTTTTTTTTGCATTTTCAATAGTGTTTTTAGGGGAAACGTGCAGAACAGATTTCTATGTTGTGTAGGCCACTGCATTCTCTTTTGGTTCCAAATTGGTCAATATAATTTGCAAAGTGACTTCAGGAGAGAGAAATTCTGAGGGATGTGGAAGGTCATAATTACTTTTTGGACCTCTGATTGTTTGTGACCAATAAAAGGGTGCCTGTTACACAGAGAGGTGGGCAGGGTGACCAGTCACCTCTTTCTGTCCAAATGAACTCACAAATACTATTTATTTTATAAATAAAAGAGGGATATATTCTGCTCGAAGTCCGTGAACAATGAGATTCTGATGCAACATGGAGTTTTTCCCAAGGAGTGAGTGTGGCTTAATTACTGGACTCTCTTAGCACAGAAAGGTGGAAAACAAAATGCCAGGTCTCTGCAGGAACAAAACGGCTCTTGCTGCATGTCGGATGCCATTAACGACACAGAGCATCTGCAAGAAATGCCTCCCATGTCTGTGATGGAGAGAGAACTTTTTCTCTATCCCTCGGTCCCCAAAAAAGGCCTAAATATGTAGGTGGTAAGAAAATGGGTGGGCGAGAGGAACAGACATTAACACAATATCATGTTTGAAAAATAGAAACTAAATTAAATATATTGAACTGATTTCTGAGAAGGATTCTTAATCTCTTGAACTCCCTTTTGTAGTAGGAGAGAAGAGACCAATCTTTAAGGGCAGCCCTGTCCATGTTTCCAGCCTCCTGACCACTGCTTTGTGAGGGATCACAACCAGTCAGAGAATATCGCTGGGAGGAGGGTGATAGAACCATGGAGAGACCACCTGCCACACAGCAAGGGCCCAGCTTCTGAGAGCATCAGATGTAAGCTCAGGGTTACAGAGGTCTGAATCTTGGGAAGGGGCTTTTCAGATACATTGTTTGCTTTCTGCTGAGATAGGGAATGTGTCATTCTGCCAGAGTGCAACTTTTTAACAAATTATTAAATAAAGCTGTATACGTCTCATTGTTACCTGATTGCTGATTGCTGGTGTTATTTCTCTCAAGCTACTTATTGGAGCTCAGGGAGAAACTGAGTTACTGTATGCTGGCTCCATGCTGGGCGTTTTCACGTGATCACTTACTCCACCCAGCAACACTGTCCATTTACAGTGAGGAAATTAAGATAGGATAAATAATTTGCCCAAGGTCACACAGCCAGTAAGCCAAGCCAGGATTGAACCCCAGGTCCGTCTGACATGCTTATATTCCCCTCAAACCAAAAATCGTGAGAAGCCTAACTGTGCTGTTTGAAGAAGAAGCTGGGGTCTTGGAAAGGCATTCCACATCTCAGGTCTACCATGTCTGCAGGGTTGCTGGTCTCCATCCCTTGTGTAATAATCTGCAACCACTTGTCTGGGTTCCTCTAAGAAACCAAGCTGTATTTCTTCAGAAATGGCTCTTTGTACCGAAACAAGAATAATTTTATGAGCCCATCATCTCAGATCACTTTTGAACAATCCAGGGGGGCATAAGTCGTCCTTATGCTACCATAAGTACATCCAGGTTGCTGCATCCATGGTGGGTATCGGTAAATGACAGGGACCCTGCCCGTTCTGGTAGAGAGGATGAAACAAATGCACGTGAGCAGATAGAGATTACCAGGCCAGAGCTCTCCATCCGTCTGAGCCACATATGGAATGGATGATGGTCTGCTTTCCCACCTTAGACTTTTTGCTGGAGTCAGGCCCTTACCTTACTCATTCCTTTTCTCACTTTCATTTTCCTTCTTCCTATTCAATACAAAAAAAAAAAAAAAAATTGAGTGCCTGCTTCATGAAAAGCAAGGAGGTAACCAAGTAGACTCTACTTAGGTAGGTACACAAGATGATTGTTCCAAGCTCTCCCACATACCTCGTATCCAGTTCTTATGGCAACCCTGCAAAGTGCGCAGTGTCTATTTTACAGACACAGAATGGCTGAGGAAACTTAAGCGATTTGGTCAAGGTCATCTAGCTCGAAAAATTAGTTCCTGGTTCTTCTAAAAATCATATTTTATCACATTTTCATGTTTTATTCAGCCTTTTATTGAGTACTTACTATATACCAGGCACTTAGCACCTTCCTGTAAGTTTCATGTTATGGACCCAATGAGATACATGCTATTCCCGTTTTATGAATAGGAAGACAGGCTCAGAATTAGTTTACAGATGGTCACAAAACTAATAAGTGGCAGTTAGAGAATTGTAAACTTCTCTTTCTAATTCTTAGGTGCCTCCTGAAGGGAGCTATATGGTGGAATTCTTTTAAGAAAAGGCCAAAGATGGTCATTCCCTACTTCCTGCCTCATTCATGGACCTCACCTTGAGGCCAGTCTTGAAAGTTTGACTTCAGATAAGAAGGGCAGTATTGGAGTGGTATGGACACAAGAGCAGTTGGCTAGGCCCATGCTCAATTTCCTCCCTGCCAAGGTCCACATCCTTGAGTAGCTGTCATCCATTCTAACATCTGATTAGAACTTTGCTATAGAGGATGTGCCTACACTTGCCTCTTCCAGCTCTGCGTGCCAACTGCCTGTGAAGTTAAATATCAAACCAACCTTCCCCGGGGGAAAGGGAGAGACTTAGGGGCCAGCAGAAACATTGAGAACCTCAGCTAGAAGGTGCTCTAATTGGTAAGCCACCAGAAAAGGCTGAGAAGTCTGAGCCAGAGTCAAGAGCCATTTCAGTGCAGTGGACCCATATTGTGTTAAAGAGCATCTGTCTTCAGAAATACTCAGCCCCCTAAAGGGGAGGCAGCAAGTGGTTATGGTTCTTTAAATTTTAATGAACTGGAGAGGGAAGGTAGCACAGCAGTCAAAGGCAATTCTGTCAAAGATTCTTTATCCTAGATTATCCATTGCCAGTGAGTCAGTTCCAACTCACAGCGACCCTATAGGACAGAGTAGAACTGCCACATAAGGTTTCCAATGCTGTAATCTTTACAGAAGCAGACTGCCACATCTTTCTCCTGTGGAGCAGCTGGTAGGTTCAAACCACCTACCTATCGGTTAGCAGCTGCTTAACCACTGCACCACCAGGGCTCCTTATCCTAGATTAGTGAATCTCAAATTCGGGCATGCATCAGAGTTGCCTGGAGGGCTTGTAAAAACATCATTGGGCCCTACCCCTGGTGTTTCTGATTCAGTAGATTTGGAATGGGGCCTGAGAATGCGTGTCTAACAAATCCTCAGATGATGCTGAGGCTGCTAATCTGGGAACTACACTGAGAACCACTGTCCAGATCTCGCTATTCAAAGTATGGTTCTCAGAGCAGAAACACTGGCATCCCCAAGGAGCTTGAAATGCAGAATGTTGAAGCCCACCCCAAACCTACTGAATCAGAATCTGCATTTTAACCAGATTCCCAAGTGATTCAATTCCTTTATACATTAAAGGTTGAAAAGCATCACTAAGGCAGTGCTTCCCAAATTGCCAATCAAATGAATCTCTTGGAGTGTTGACAATTTAGATTCTAGGCTCCTCTGGAGACTTAGAAGGTGCGGGAAGATTCCAGGAGTCCCTAATATTAACAAGTCCTTCAGGTGATGATTATGCTCAGGCAAGTATGGGAAACCCTGCTCAAACTCTGCGTTCCGTTCTACCTCAGTCCTGTGTACTTTGGATGAGACCAAACCACAGAGCCAGAGAAAAACCTCTTGCTCCAGGATCATGACAAGGCAGCAGCTTCTCCCCCAGAAACAGGAGCTTAGGGAAGGTGGCTCCTCGATGGTCTGTGATGCTGTCAGAGGAAATGAGTGGTTGTGAGAACCACAAAGAGTCTGCAGATGTGAGCCGGGAGCTCTAAGGACCCTGCACCCATAGCTTCTGTGACACAGAGCTCAAAGAGCCCTGGGCCTTCTTCCCTTGCCTGGCTCTGCTTGAGAGGGATGCCCAGTCCGATGATCCCTCAGAAGCATGGGGCTCTTGTCCCATCCCAGGTGCAAAGACTGCTGACCACAGGCAGATGCTGAGCAACCCAAACCAATACCTGCAGCGGCTCCCTGAAGATTCTCCCCGGCCGAGAGAGTTCTGGGTCTCCTAGGACCAAGGACATTGGCAGACTTCAAGAAGGGCACCTCCCAGAGTCCTGGCCTGTCCAGCCAAAGCATGCGTCTTAGCTGAGCCCCCCGCCCCCGCCCCCGCCCCAAGCCTCTGATGACAGGAAGCGAGTAAGTATGCTTGCTTTTGTTTTCCGATGGCCTCAGGATGAGGGAGGAAGGATGGCCCCCTCGGGGGCCAGGAGTAGACTCTGAGGGCACTCTGGAGGACAAGGTGGGCTTTACAGTGGGAAACGAGCTCAAGGAGAAGAGAAGTTGCTCTGCTGAGGCTGTAGGAGGGATGCTTTCTCGGATCCCCAAAGGAGCTGAGGCATCCTCCCTCCACCTTTGACTGCCTTCTGGAGAATTACATTATTTCCTCCAGCTTGTCTTCACATCTGCTCTGGTCCCATCTTGGTTACCAGCTTTTTGTGTAACTTTGGTCCACTCTCTGGGCCACAGCCTTTTAAAATTCAGTAAATGATAGGGGTCTGCACTATAATCTCTGAAGGCTTTTTCTTTAATGGTAGCTCTAGAGTCTACAGTTCTCAAAAGGGTGATATTACTCAGTCAAAAGAGGGAAAGGTCTCCCTTTAACTTGGTCCAAATTCATCACTCTTACCCCTACTGCTGAAAATTATCTTTAGAAACACAAAAATACTCTGCTGAGAGTCCAAAGATATGGACTGTAGTCCCCGCTCTGCACTAACCAGCTGTGTAGCAATGAGCATGACATTCATATTCTCTGTGGGCCTTGATCATTGTATCTGAAATGGGACGCAAACCCTGCGGACCTGTCTTACAGGGTTGTAAGGATCAAGCGAAACAGAAAAACTGTTCTGGCTAGTATGCTGATCTCAGCTGCCTTTTACTAACTTTTTCCTTCCATGCACTAGCCTGGTTGTTTTGTATGCCTTGGGGTCAATTCCGACTCATAGGGATCCCGTGTGACAGAGTAGTACTGCCCCATAGGGTTTCCAAGGCTGCAGTCTTTACAGGACCAGATTGCCAGGGCTCCTTGGCACTGGCCTGGGGCCCCTAGAAAGTGCCTAGCACATGGTAAGTTGCTCAATATTTGTGATTCTCTCTTACAAAATTTGGCCAGTACCTCCTCCTGCTAGCCTGCTCACCCGCTGACCTTCATTTTGACCCCAGAGGTTTTCCTGGCCTTGACCAGACCGGGTAAATGGAGCTGCCAGAGAGTTGGGGGCGGCAGGGGGTAGGGGGCTCCCAGCACGGTGCAGCTCTCCTCCTTCCCTTGGCCTGGGGCCCATCCCTCAGCTCCACCTGCAGTGGGAAAAAGTCTCTGAGTGTATTGCAGGTGGTGACTGTGGTGACTGTGTTGCTGACGGAGGGGAAAGGAAACTAACCTTTACTGAGCACCCATCTGTGCCAGGCTTTAATGCTCCCCACAACCTTGTGGAGTCAGTATTAGCAGTCCTAATTCACAGATAAGACTCAGGTTACATGCTTTGCCTGAGGTCCCGTAGCTAGAGCCTGGTTGCTACACAGGGCAGATCTTCTCTCCCTGGGACTTTCTGCACACCTGTCTGCAGAGTTTAAAGCATATAGCCTATATCTTATACCCAACAGGAAAGGAAAGGCTGGGGGGCAGCAGGGATATTGAAAAGCGGAGTTGAAGGGGTGCTGTAGCAGGAAAGGAATCAGAAACCTCAGGAGGCAGCAGCACCTTCTGTCTGCCAAGGCTTCAGATCCCAAAAGTCTGAGCAGGAAGTGGCTGTCAGGAGCCATTTCTGAGTGATGGACCCATTTTGTGTTGAAGAGTTATCTGTCCCCATGAATCCTGAACTCCCCTTGGGGTGGGGGGGGTGCAGCAACAAATCTATGTTGATGCCATGAGACTGAAGGACAAAGAGGGCACAGACGGGGAGTTTCCCATCCTCTAAGACAGTGCTACCTCCCCATGGACCCTTCTGCCCAGATACAACTGGCCCATTAGGCCGTGGAAGTTCCTTGGTGATACTGATGGACACTCGTCCTTACATGGGCACAGTGAAGGGTTCAAAGGCAACGAAGGCAGCTACCATGCCCGTCCATGAGCTCCTCCAGGGCAAACACCCTGACTTCCTCCTCCCCGGATCCGCAGCCTTTGGCGCCAGGCCTGGCCCAGCTCAGGTGCTTGATGAATACGAGCTGAATGGAACCCTGTCTCTACTGAAAAGAATAAAACCACCTGAAAAGAAATATAAAATTCAGCCCCTGCCCCCCCTAAAAAAACATTTAATATAGTGTTAGAATATTTAAAATCAGCACTAGTCTGGAAACCTGGGGATTTAGATTATTCTAAAGATAAGATACCTGTTCATTAGTTAATGTGTACCGAGTGCCTTCCCTGAACCAGGTACCTCACCAAATGCTGAGGAAACCATTAAACAAAACAGGTCCCTGTCCTTACTGAGCTACAGAATAATGGCAGATTAAAAAAGCCAGTAGTCTAATTAAAACTTTCAAAGGAACACAACAGGGAGCCAAAAGAGAGAAAAAAGGAGGGTGGGAAGGCTCCCAGGAGAGGCCTCTAGTGAAGTGACATTCAGGGCACGATAAAGGAAAAGTAGGTCCTAGCCAGGCTTTCACGTGCATTGTCTCCCTGACCGATACGTTGTGTAGTATTATCCCCATTTTTCAGATGAGGAAATGGAGGCACAGAGAGGGGAAGTGGCCTCCAAAGCCTCGCAAGTCATCACTGTGTCATATAGCCTCCCAGTAATCTTACTCTGCCCCATAACGCCAGTAACAGTGTGTTCAGTGCCACCTTGCTTGTCATAGCAGCTCCCAATCCCCCTTGGGTCTCCCTTACCTCTCACCTTAGCCATGGCTCCTGGTATAGAGTGAGCTCACTGCCCTGCTCCTGTTCCCTGCCATCTTTGGCCCCAGGTCAGAGAATTGATTCATAGTGGGCCATAGTGATCTGCAAGGGCTGGGGAATTCAGGAAAGCTTCCTGGAGGAGGGTGGGATCCAGACAGGCCCAAAAGGGAGGAAAGGGTATTCCAGCCAGTGGGAGGAGGCACCACAGAAGCAAAGGCTCAGGAACAGAAAGAATCGAGTATGACTGCGGCATAGAAAAGATAAGATGTGGAGAAAACAGAGTCCAGTTTGCAGAAAGTCTTCAAAATCTGGTGGAGGGGCTGGAACCTGGTCCTGAGGGGCAGCAGATCAGCAAGAGATCAGCAGGGCTGAGCTGGGGCGGAGAGGCTCGGAGAGCACGCCGGGAGCCACGGGCTCTGTCCCCACTGCAGCATCTCTTTCAGGTTTCTCTCGGGGATGTGCTTTTAAGTGTTCTGCTGACGAATGATGGGAAGTCTGCCCAGCAGAGGAAAAACCCTGCCAAACCCAAGTTCAAGCCCCTCAGTCCAAGGCCAAGGACGTGTACCCATGCAAGCAGGTAGGCCACGGGGCATGGGGCAGCTAGCCCCTTCCCAGGCACCATGAGGATCTGGGCCCTCCTGACCAGTGCCTCCAACACTGCATCAAGTATTAATGAGTGCCTGCTGTGTCCCAGTGAGTGACCCAGACAGGATTCCTGCTCTTGTGGAGCTTCCATTTCAGCAATAAGAACATTAAACAACCCAGATAAACTAGACAATATGAGAGAGTGACAAGCACTAACCAGAACATCAAACCAGGAGGGTATGATAGTTCTCCAGGAGTCTCCAAAGGTTGCCTCCTAAACTAGTTCACTCAGAAACTCATCTGGTAACTCCTAAATCCAACCCCCCACTTCCGTAACTCTCCAAAGCGGCACTGCCTATTACGGTAGCCAGTAGCCACGTATGGCTATTTAAATTTAATTAAAATGAAATAAAATTCAGTTCTTCAGTCTGAATAGCCATATTCCAGGTGCTCAATAGCCCTAGTGACTGCAGTGTGGGACATCACAGAATTATAGAACGTTTCCATCCTTGCAAAAAGTTCTATTGGATGGTGATGCTCCACAGTGTCTCCTCTTAACCCTAAGAAATGCTGTGAAATACTTAAAGCAAAATTAGAGCTATCTCAATTGGAAAAAATTAACGTACTATACATATGCTAAACCTCTAACCATGATTTTTAAGAGTCCTGACTAAAAATTCCTAGTTTTTAGGACAACAGAATAATCAAAATATCCTGGAAAGTCTAACATTTGATGTCAATTTTTTGTTCCCCAAATGGCACATAAATCCTTTCTCAAATCACTCCTGATCGCCCTAAATCAAGCTGCACTTTGAGGAGGAGGCATATGGACCACAATTAAACAGGAGATTGAAAAACCAAGACGTCTGGATATTAGTGTTCGGGCAGAAGCTGGCCCCAGTCTGAAAACTCCCCTACAATGGCAGGGGCCATTCCCACTCCTCAGCCCAATCCTCAGTAAAAAAAACAAACCCAGACCCCTTGCCGCTGAGTTGATTCCAACTCATATTGACCCTGTAGGACAGAGTAGAATTGCTTCATAGGGTTTCCAAGGCTGTAACTCTTTATAGAAGCAGACTGCCACATCATTTTCCTGTGGAGCAACTGGTGGGTTCGAACCACCAATCTTTTGGTTAGCAGTCAAGTGCTTAACCACTGCGCCACCAGGGCTTCTGCAATCCTCAGTGGTGTTGTTAGGTGCCGTGGAGTCAGTTCCGGCTCATAGTGACCTTGTGTACAACAGAACAAAACACTGCCCAGTCCTATGCCATCCTCAAAATCGTTGCTGTTTGAGCCCATTGTTGCAGCCACTGTGTCAATCCATCTAGTTGAGGGTCTTGCTCAATACCCAGACCCTAATTCCAGCCTCCCCCAGGCCCCACAGGCATCAGGACCCTAGACCCTGTAGGAGTCCTGTTGAGGAGGCAGTGGTCGCCTTTTAGCCACCCAATCTGCACAGAGAGCCTGGGGCCGAGGAGGCCCCACAGGAAGAGATCTGAAAACCACAGGGACCTCCACCTCGGTTTTTTCTGAATCTAGCCACAGGCAGTGGCCTCAGGCTGCTTTGAGTCATGCCCAGGGCTGCTGAGGGTGGTGACCACCCCTATGTGCTAATGAGTGGGTGGGCCCGGGCCCTCCCTGCACGTGGGACCTGAGGGCAGCTGCTGTCTCCCTTCCGCCAGGGTCTCCTTGGGGAAGGGTGAGCCTCTCTCTGTTGGTCTCAGCCCCGGTCCCTGGCCAGCCCCCCTCCATGAGTCATTTATCCGTTCAGACTTGCATCCATCTTAAATCTACTGTGCCAGGCCTTATGCCAGGACCTGGGGACACAGCAGTGGACAAGACAGGCACAGTCCTTGCCCTGAGGGACAATCAAGACTCAGAGACAGGTGATACACTAGTTATTAATTACAACTGTGTTAGACAGTATGTTTTAAGAGACTCTGAGAGTGTGTGCTGAGGGTCCTAGTATGGAAAGGCTTGCTGGAGGTAGGGACATTTCTGCTGAGAAGTGAAGGACAAAGGTGAATCAGCTGGGCAGAGAGGGGGGACCAATCAGGGAACAGTACAGGCAGCTCAGTGGCTAACCCTTAGGGGGTGCAAGGTCAGGGCCCTTCCAGCCACCTTGTTCCATCTACCCTTGTCAGAGGAGGACCTCCACAGGCTTGTTGGCATTGTTGTTGTTTGCATTGTTAGTTCAAGTATCAGACATTTCCTTGGGTCAGCCAGGCCCTGTGCTGCAAACATGGCTCTGAGTAGCTCCAGACTGGGGTCATTACAAGGTCTCCATGTGTGTCTGGAAGGATGTGGAGGAACCTGTCCATTTCCAGAATCACAGTCTCCATCTTCTCATCGCAACAGAGAGCCAGGAGGGCCAGGGCATCCTCTCCCTTTCCCTGCACAGTGTCCACCTCTAGGTCTCCCCCCACAACCTGTGGGTCCTGTCTATATCCTTCTGTCCCCCCACACCACCGCCTTGGGTCCCAGCTCCATCAAGAGGGCATCGCAGAGTCCTGTGACCTTGACTCCTTCAGAAAGGAGCATCTAAGAGACAGATACACCTTTCTTGCTGAACTTGAGTGCTTTTCATAGTTTGATGTATTAGTGTGCTAACAAGTCTCTCCTCTTTTCTTTGTTACAAAGAGCCTTACTGAGATAGGATAAGGAGCCCACCCCACCCCAGGGGACTAGGGTTTGGGTGAGGTCCCTTCCAGCAGCCTGTGGAGGGCAGGTTTTCCAGGCCAAGAAGACCCTGGCAGGCATGGGGATGCCCTGTTAGGCTGGGCAGGCTGACCTGAGGTAGGTGAGCGAATGAGTGTCCTGTGCTGAGGGAGCCGCTTGCTGCCTGCTGTCCAGCCCCAGAATTGGGCCACATGGCCACCACATCCTCAGGATCATTCCTCATGTGACTGGGGGCTTGGGAAGTTATTCCTGGTCCCCTCTGTCTCTGTGACCCGGGCCAGTGATTCCCCTCTGAACCTCAGCCTCCTGGGGAGAAGGGAAGGCTATGGTCCCTGAGCAGCCTGGGCAGGACTAGGCATGGGGGGTGAGGGGAAGGTGAGGGCTTGGCTTCGAGGGGAGTAAGGTCAGCAAGCGGAAGGAACAGATTGGCTGGACAGACCCACTGGGTCTGGGCCCCTCCTGAGATGCACTGCTGCTGTCCAGTCCCACTTCCCTCCAACCCTGGGCCAGTGAACAGCCACCCCACAGTGCCCCATGGGAGGAGAGAGACAGGGCAGTGTGGCGTAAGAGCTGTCCCCTCACTTCCCGGCTGCATGCCCATCGGAGACTCCGTTACCTCGCTGTACAATAGAGATGACTGTAGACCTGACCTCAGAGACAGTTGTGAGGACCGAGTAAGGTGGTGCATAAAGCACCCAATCAGGGCCTGACACACAGCAGGTGCTCAATAAATGATGGCAGCATGGATGGCCAGGACACTTGGCTGAGCCACATACATCTGCTGGCCAACTGCTCTGGGCCAAGCCTGGCATAGTGGGCCTGGGAATGACACCTCTTGTTAGTTGGCGGCACAGACCTACACCTGCTGCTCTGGACAAGGGCCTAGGAAGAGGTACGGTGCTGCCAGAGAGAACCACTCTACCCATACTCACTGTACTTGATAGTTACAAAGCCTGTTCATGTCTGTGATTTCATGGGCCCCTCCAGCAGCCTGGAGAGGTGAGGAATATAATCCCCACAAGGAAACCAAGGGCCAGGAATGATGGGACCAGTGAAATTCCACTGTGTGAAGGGAAGGTCATCTTCAGACCTTCCCAGCCCTTCTCTCTCTCCTTTCCCAACACCCACATGTTCAGTGCTTGAAAGCTACTCCCATGCCCACCCGAGGCACCCATGTGACTTGAAAACCAGGCCCCAGCTGCAAGTCTTTCCTGAGTGTCTCCTTCCCCAGTCTTCACAGCTAGTCCATCCAGTGTCTCTTCCATCATAGATTAGCAGCTGAACCTGGTTAGAGCTGTAGGTTTCAAGTTTTTCTTAGCAGCACAGTCCCTTTATCAAAATTTTCTGTAAAGAGCTGTATATAAAAGGAGATTGTAGTCAGGAGCTCCACTCCTCTTGCCACACCCACCCTCTTCCTGAGGTGACCCCAAGAGCTATCTGGGCACTCCCAGGGTTCTACAGAGCCCTGCTGGAAAGGATTCAAAGTCCAGGGTTGCTCTCCCAGGAAGAAGACATGCCTCCCCGCAGGGGTGGGCAGTGCCCTTGGTGCCCATGGCAAGATTGATAATGGGAGCCCAGATCCAGGCCAGACTCCACTAGACCTCATGTCTGATAGGAGCACTGGCCAAAAGGGCGACTGTCTCTGTCCCTCCATCCAGAGAAAAGCAAAGCCACAGCTGTGGCCCTGGGCAGTTACCCAGTGGGTGAACAGGCAGCGCTGCCGCTGAAGCTGGGGGAGCCATTGACAATCGTCTCTGAGTAAGTCTTTCGAGGGGCACTAGGTGGGGTGCTGGCTAGGGCAGGATACTCTCTTCCTTCCTTCTGGAGACCTGAAGATGAGCTAGTGGGAGACAGGCAGGGGGCTAGGAGAAGGGGCCCTTCCCCCCCAGGGAGAAAAGAACATAGGCCTTTGTTGCCAAGCTCACAGGTGGCCCTAATAGTGGGAGTTCAGCAGTTCCACACACCTGCAGGGAGAGGCGGTGGGTAAAGAAGGCCTTGTAGGGAAACTGAACCATACCAGGAGGTAGCTGGGCTGGCTGGTGCCAGGAAGCCTGGGAAGCTCAGGCAGTACAGTTCTCTGGGGCCCTAGTCCTTCTGAGAGGGGCCCCACCTCTCCTTTCTCTCTCCAGGGATGGAGACTGGTGGACAGTGCTGTCAGAAGTCTCAGGCAGAGAGTACAGCATCCCCAGCATCAATGTAGCCAAAGTCTCCCATGGGTGAGTTCTGCCCCAGGCCTCACCTTAGGGAAATTGCTGCCTGCTCCTCCCACAGCATTCTCCATTCTGCACAGTGCTCTGCTGGGGGCCGGGAAGGGAATCAGACTTGGGAACCCAGAGGAGGTGTTGTGGTGTGGGCTTTGGAGGGTGGCCAGGATTCTGGTAATGGAGAATGGGAAAAGGGACATGCAGGAGATGGAAAAGCTGCCTAAATGTCTTGAGGCAAGAAAATAGAGGGGCAATTCTTGGAACAGTGAGGGCCGTTTGGATAGAATAGGGGAGTTGGAGGGACTGGGCAGTGATAGGAGAGAGGCTTGGGATCACCCTATGTGGCCTTCCAGGGCATTTGGGAATGAGAATCCAGGCAGAAAAAGCTAGGGCTGATCCCATGACGTCCTCTCAGGCCTCTGGAGCCAGGCACAGGAGGGTAAAGCTGGAGGGGCCCTCAGAGACCCCAAGGCAGCCCTTCACGATGTAGATAGAGGTCCAGAGAGGGTAAGGCCTTGCCAGGGTCACACAAAGGGGGTAGGGGTCCCAGTGCTTCTTCAGTGGGCCCCACCTCAACAAGGCCCTCTTTTCTGCTCCTCCCCAGGTGGTTGTATGAGGGCCTGAGCCGAGAGAAAGCCGAGGAACTGCTGCTGCTGCCTGGGAACCCCGGAGGGGCCTTCCTCATCCGGGAGAGTCAGAGCAGGAGAGGTGGGTGAGCTCAGCCCTGCTCCATACCCTCCCTCTATGGGGAGGCCTCAGGGAGGGTGGAAAGGAACCTCCAGAAGTACAGATCTTCCCAGAGAATAGGCTATGCCTTACTTGTTGGTCATTCATTCAGCCAACATAGATTTCCCAATCCCAGTCTTGTATGGGACCATGCAGGGCCCAGAAATGACCCCCACACTCCCAGGCTGTGGGGAGGTGGGGACCGGCAATGACAGACAACATTCGAGTGTTGAGGGCAGAGGAGGGGCGGCTACCTCTGGAGCAGTCAAGGAAGGCTTCATGGAGGAGTAGACTGAGTTGAAACTTGAAGGATGTTTCCACAGGAGCTCAGGCTGAGGCACTGCCTGGCCCTGAGAAGGCCTGGCATTTTACATAAGTAGCTGCAGCACAGGACAGGAGACTAGGAAAAGCAGGTAAGGCCAGAGCACAAAGGGCCTTCAATGCCAGGCTAAGAAGCTTGGGTTTTCTCCCAAAGGCAACGGGAGCTGTTGTTCAACAAGGGCATGGTTAGCAGTGGGTATGGGTTATGGGGGAAATAAGAGGCTGAAGGACAGTGACCCTCAAAGTGGGTTCCATTGACCACTTGCTATGAGATAGAGGGGATGGGAAGGTCAGTTTGGGAGAGGCTGAAAATCATATTCTGCTCTGAGGGAGAGAGGTTTTAACCATTAGCAATGCATGTTAAGACAGGACTTCTCAGGACTTTGACTTTGTCTAATTGGGCATTTCCCAAACACTTTTGAAGAAAGGAACTTTTCATCATGCAGTACTTAGTAATACTTCATATTCATTCATTCAACAAATGATTATCTAGTATCCACTGTGTGGGGCGGCCTCAGGGAGAGGGGAGGAGCCTACTAGTGTACCAGACCTTGGGCATCACTGGTGAGTGAGGTGGACATGGTCCTTGGTCACTGGAAGCCAGTGCTCCATGGCACACACTTTGGAAAACACAGCTTGAAATTTGCACTGATGTCAGGGCTTGTCCCTCGAATGCCAAGAGCCAACTGTGATGTGACTTGGGGGTCAGGCTAAGAGACCAGATGTGAAGGACTGGGGCATCTCACTATCTGACCGTCACGTTGCTGCTATGAGAGCCCGTCAGCAGTGGAGTAACCTGCATTTCTAAAAGTGAGTGTGAATGCACCATAGCTTGTATTTCAGAGCTGGGATCCAGGCTCAGCCAACATTTTGGCAATGGGAACTTGTAATAGAATAGTTCCTTCCCCTGGCCGGAAATGATTCCTCCCTCCCCAAGACACACAGCATCCTGATCACTTGGCAAAAAAACTGAGATGTGACAGTGTCTCTGTGATTTGAGTCACAGACAGAGCCAGAAAGTCATTTCATGGATCTTCCTCTCTCCACTGTATAGATCAGGAAACAGAGGCCCAAAGAGAGGTAGGGATATGTCACATTGCACTTCTCCAGGTGCAGATCCTTTGCAAACAAAAGTCGGGGTTGATAGTCTTGGATGCCCCCGCCTCCCTCTGGGCTACTAGCCCTTAAGGCAGGAGCAGCACTATGTTTGTGTTAGGCCCTTTAAGTGCCTCAAAACAACTCTGGGGTTTGCACTTCCGTTTTATAGATGAGGAGACTGAGGTTTAGGAGAAACGTTTGCTGGAGGACCCACAGTTAATAAGTGCAGAGCCAGGATTCAAAGTCAGCCAAGGTCTGTCTCGCTCCAGATACCCAAAAAAGGCCCTTGTGTGGCAATAATGGTGGAATTGCAAGCAGAGTTGAGAGACAAGGGAGGATAGGCCTCCTAGTGCCTACCCTAATTAGAACCCATTGTGATGGGCTCCTAGGGTCCTTTGCTCTCTGCCTCATTCTCCTTCCTGGGCTCCCTCCAGCAAATTTTTGCCTCTCCTCTCCTTCCATTGGGAGCTCTCCAGGTTGACCTCTCCCTGGCCTCCTCCTGTTTTCCGGGCAGCACATCCACCCTCACACACACACACACACACACACAAATGTTGGCTGGGGTGGGGGCTGGCCCCAGTACAGCAGCTGCAAACAGGAAACCACAGCAGGGTGCTGGCTGAGGCAGGGGAGCTGCAGGCCGGGCTGGGCGCTCAAGGCCTCAGTGAGCTTGCGAAGCCACAGGAAGTGTCTTGTGCTCAGCTACTCTCCCTGCTCCGCTTCCACCCCTTCTCTGGCCTGGTTGAGCTCCAAGAGTATAGTGACTGCCCCTTATTGCCACTCTGCCCCTTTCCTGAGATGCATATTACAAGAGGAAGTAAGCAGAAAGGATCCATAAAGATCTTTATTACTGAGATTAAGGTTAAATTTGACCCTGAGCTTCCCTGTAGTGAACACCAGAAGAATAGATTAGAATGCAGCTCTCATATTAAAAAAGGAAGAAATTCGCCAGTTCTCCACGAAAGGCAAAGGTTTCCCTGGTACTAACTTTTAATCTCTCATCTGGGGCTTCCTTTGGGGCAATATTTGTCAAACTGTAGGCCATGACCCATTTATAGATCAAGAAATCAACTTAGCCCAGTGGTTCTCAGCTCTGAGCTTGTATCAGAATCACCTGCAGGGCTCCTTAAAACACAGATGGCTGGGCCCCACCTCCAGAGCTTCTAATTCAGTGGGCCTAAGAATTTGCATTTCTAATAAGTCTCAGGTGATGCTGATGTGGCTCTCTGGGGATGACACTTTGAGAACCAATGTACAGCCCTTGTACATTGGAATCACCTGAGGGAGCTTAAAAAAATACTGCAGCCTGGGTTCCACCCTCAGAGTTTCTAATTTAATCAGTCAGAGATATGGCCTGGGCGCTAGAATTTGTAAAGCCCCCCAGGTGATTCTGATGTGCAGCCAGGGTGGAGACCCACTGATTGAGTGGGTCTGGTCCAGTGAGTGTAATGAAAGAGAGTGGAAAACATTGGAGGGCATTAGGTCAGGATAAATACTGCTTCGTGAAACTTTTGTTTCAGGTATTTATAAGTATGTGGGTCCTGGGTCACAATGTAAAATTTCATACTGTGGTTTGTGGTCAAAAAAAAGTTTGAATAGTGCTGCTTTAGAGGCCTAAGTGATGTCACAGAACGGCGGCTCTCAGACTTGAAGGTACAGGAACCATCAGGGGAACTTGTTAAAAATGCAGACTTCTGGGCCCCACCCCACACATACTGGATCAGACTGTTCAGAAACAATTTCAATCCTTTTAAATTTGTTTTTATGGCCCAGAATATAGTTTATCTTGAAAGTTCCCTGTGTACTTGAAAGAAAATGCATATTGTTGGGTGTGCTATTTTATGTCAATTAGATCATTATTGATGATATTGTTCAAGTCTTCTATATCCCTATTGGTTTTCTGTCACATCAATTTCTGAGAGAGGAGTGTTGAAATCTCCAATTATAATTATGGTTTTGTCTATTTCTCCTGTCAATTATGCTTCATATATTTTGAATTTCTAGAATTGGGTGCATACAAATTAAAGATTGTTGTGTCTTCTTGATGTGTTGACCCCTTAGTCATTATGAAACATCCCTATCTCTGATAATACTCTTGGGCTTTAGTTCTACTTTGTCTGATATTAGCTTTCCTGTGGTGCACTGATTAAGTGCTCCACTGCCAACCAAAATGTCTGCAATTCAAACCCATCAGCCGTTCATTGGGAGAAAGATGTGGCAGTCTGCTTCCAGACAGATTACAGGCTTGGAAACCCTATGGGCAGTTCTACTCTGTCCTACAGGGTCACCATGAGTCAGAATCAGCTTGACCGCAACAAGTTTGGTTTTTGGTTTATGATTAATATTTGCATGATATATCTTTTCTCATCTTTTTACTTTTAACTTGTGTTTTAATATTTGAAGTTTGTTTATTATAGACAGATGGCATATAGTTGGGTCTTGCTTTTTATCAAGTTTGATAATCTCTGCCTTTAAATTGGAATATTTAAATAAACTACTTCCTCAAAGTAAATGCTTCCTAAAACTGAGCAGTGCCTGTGGTTTGGGAAATTCACTCCTGCCTTTTGTTGGTATTCCACAGGAAAAAGTTTAAATGACAGTGTCATTGCTTCTTCTTCCAGGTTCTCTGTGCCAGAAATGTCTCATCTGTAAATGAGGGTAATGGTACCTACCTCATAGGATGGTTGTGAAAATTAAATGAGATAGTCCCTATAAAGCACTTATAGTAAACACTCAATAAATGAAAGTGACAATGGCTATAACATTAGCGAATAGTAATGCTAGAGTATTGTCTTAGGCTGGGTTCTCTAGAGAAGCAAAACCAGTAAAACGTATAAACATATAGAGATAGAGAGGTTTATATCAAGGAAATAGCTCACATGGTTGTAGAGGCTGTAATGTCCCAAGTCCATTGATCAGGATAGAGGCTTCTCCTGATTGAAGTAGCTGCAGGGGCTGATGAACCCAAGACTGGCAGGTTGGAGAGTAGGGCTCTTGCTCACAGGCTGTGAAGCTCAATGAATCTCAAGATGAGCAGGCAAGATCGCAGGTCAGCTGCTAGCTCAAGTCCCAAGAACTGGAGGTCTGATGAACAGGAGCCAGCTGCAGGATCCAGAATGAGCAAAAGCCCTTGAGCCTTGCCAGAACATCTGCTTATGTTCGGATGCAAGCCACACGCCCAGGGAAACTCCCTTTCAACTGATTGGCTACCGACAGCATATTCCATCATGGGAGTCATCACATATCAAGTCTCAACAGGAAAGTGATCACATTATACTACTGCCAAAACACTGAGAATCATAGCCTAGCCAAGTTGACACACAATTTTAACCATCACAAGTATTATTACTATTCTTTCAGCACCCTCTTCTCATTTGGCTTTGATGAAGGGTTGATTAAAATTTATTCTTTTTCAGGCTTAAACACAGAAGAAAACATTCTTTGATGGTTACGAGGGTGGGGAGGGAAGGAGAGGGGTATTCACTAACTAGATAGTAGACAAGAATTACCTTAGGTGAAGGAAAGGGCAACACACAATACAGGGGAAGTCAGCACAATTGGACTAAACCAAAAGCTAAGAAGTTTCCTGAATACAACCAAACACTTCAAGGGACAGAGTAGCAGGGGTGGGGGTCTGAGGACCATGATTTCAGGGAACATCTAGGTCAATTGGCATAACAGAGTTTATTAAGAAAATGTTCTGTATTCCACTTTGGTGAGTTATGTCTAGGGTCTTAAAAGCTAGCGAGTGGCCATCTAAGATGCATCAATTGGTCCCAACCCACCTGGAGCAAAGGAGAATGAAGAATGCCAAAGATACAAAGAAAGTATTAGCCTCAGAGACAGAAAGGGCCACATAAACCAGAGACTCCATCAGCCTGAGACCAGAAGAACTAGATGGTGCCCAGCTACACCAATGACTACCCTGACAGGGAACACAACAGACAGTCCCTGACAGAGTAGGAGAAAAGTGGGGTATAGAACTCAAATTCTAGTAAAAAGACCAGACTTAATGGTCTGACTGAGACTGGAGGAACCTTGGAAGACATGGCCCCCAGACTCTCTGTTAACCCAGAACTAAAACCATTCCCAAAGCCAACTCTTTAGACAAAGATTAGACTGGACTATAAGACATAAAATGATACTCGTGAAGAGTGTGCTTCTTAGTTCAAGTAGATACATGAGACTAAACGGGCAGCTCCTATCCAGAGGCAAGATGAGAAGGCAGAAAGGGACAGGCGCTGGTTGAATGAACATGGGAAACCCAGGGTGGAAAGGAGGAGTGTGCTGTCACGTTATAGAGAGAGCAACTAGGGTCGCATAACAAAGTCTGTATAAATTTTTGTATGAGAAACTAACTTGAGCTGTAAACTTTCCCTTAAAGCACAATTTAAAAAATTCTTTTTCTTTTCATTTTTCAATCACGTGCTTTTTTCTTCTAACCAGGTCTTCTCCTGACTTTTAAATTTTTTTTAACTAAAAGTTTTGTTGAAACCCATCAAATTGTACACTTAAAATGTCTGCATTTTATTATATGTAAATTATACCTCAGTAAAGTTGATTTTAAAAACTGAAAAAATCCTGTCATCAGGATTTTTGTATGTACTATATACTGTAAATTTCAAGATCTGTCCTGAAATACAACGCTGTCAGTGATAATATCCATACACCTACAAGGAAGACCTGTTAATATGACTATTATTCAAATGTACACACCAACCACTAAGGCCAAAGATGAAGAAACTGAAGATTTTTACTAACTTCTGCAGTCTGAAATTGATCGAACATGCAATCAGGATGCATTGATAATTACTGGTGATTGGAATGCAAAATTGAGAAACAAAGAAGAAAGATCAGTAGTTGGAAAATATGGCCTTGGTGATAGAAATGATGCTGGAGATCAAATGAAAGGATTTTGTAAGGCCAACAACTTATTTATTACAAATACTTTTTTTCAGCAACATAAACGGTGACTATACACGTGGACCTCACCAGATGGAATACACAGGAATCAGATCGACTACATCTGTGGAAAGAGATGATAAAAAAGCTCAATATCATCAGTCAGAACAAGGCCAGGGGCTGACTGTGGAATAGACCATCAATTGCTCATATGCAAGTTCAAGTTGAAGCTGAATTAGAACAAGTCCATGAGAACAAAAGTACAACCTTAAGTATATCCCACCTGAATTTAGAGACCATTTCAAGAATAGATTTGACACACTGAACACTAATGACCGAAGACCAGACAAGTTGTGGAAGGACATCATACATGAAAAAAGCAAGAGGTCATTAAAGACAGGAAAGAAATAAAACACCAAAATGGATGTCAGAAGAGACTCTGAAACTTGCTGTTGAACATCGAGTAGCTAAAGCAAATGGAAGAAATGATGAAGTCAAAGAGCTGAACAGAAGATTTCAAAAGGGCAGCTCGAGGAGACAAAGTAAAGTATTATAATGACATGTGCAAAGACCTGGAGTTAGAAAACCAAAAGGGAAGAACACGCTCAGCATTTCTCAAGCTGAAAGAACTGTAGAAAAAATTCAAGCCTTGAGTTGGCAATAGTGAAGGATTCTATGGGTAAAATACTGAACGATGCAGGAAGCATCAAAAGAAGGTGAAAGGAATACAGTCACTGTACCAAAAAGAATAGGTCAATGTTCAGTCATTTCAGGAAGTAGCACATGATCAAGAACTGATGGTACTGAAAAAAGAAGTCCAAGCTACAGCGAAGACATTGGCAAAAAAACAAGGCTCCAGGAGTTGACGGAATACCAATTTAGATGTTTCAGCAAACGGATGCAGCACTGAAGTGCTCACTCGTCTATGCCAAGAAATTTGGAAAACAGCTACCTGG